CGCTTTATAATTCGCAGGCGCGATCCGCCTCTCGACGAATGCTAGCGTGTCTCTCTCTCTTTCTCTCTCTCGTGCGTTTCATCACCAAAATTTTTCCAAAATTCCTCTCGAGATTTTATTTCGCCACCGTTGCCCGAGTCAAGCGTGTGTGCGTTAATAACGACACAATCACGTGCGTCGCTTTCTAATTCGCGGGCGGGGTCCGCCTCTCGACGAACGCCAGTGTGTTTTTCTTTCTCTCTCGTGCGTTTCATCATCGAAATTTTTCCGAAATCCTTCTCGAAATTTTATTCCGCCATCATTGCCCGAGTCAAAATTTTACTCTTATTTTCAATTTTTTTAATGAATTCGATAGGATTTTAATTTAACAGATTTACTTTATACAGAAATTGAGCTTTTGTATTTGTACTTCACACGGATAGTAAACACATAATTTTCCACTTTGGGGTTTGAAAGAGGAGCTTCTGGTAAATCTACAGATTAACAATACAAATAATTTTAAGAGAGAATAATCTGCTTAGGCTTAAAGTATCAAAGCAGTTAGATTGAAATGTTCAGATTAAAAGTAGGAGAAGAATTTCGACTGTAATATATCGCGATTCTCTCTACTAAATAAATTAAACGATATCGGGCTTGGAGCAAAAAGGAAAAACAAAGTATTCCCTTAAGTGCGCCATTCATTTGCATATCTAAACTCATTTATTGTGCCTTCATTTGTGTTCGCGATGTGTACTTTTTTTTTTATTTTTCACATGTTTTGTTCTTTCCGTTCCAATTGCCAAGCTCGTCCCGTTCAATGTGTGTCCGGTGCGTTCCGGAAGTAAATTCAAAAGGCCATTGTTGCATTTCCGCGTGTCCGTATAACGACGACTATCTCGACTATCGCGCGTATATAATGCTACGTTACGGTATTATTGCGGTGCATTTATTTCCAGGAAAATGATATGGCACCTTCAAGCAGATACGATATAATGACTTAAATATAATTAGTACTCTGTGTATTGCGGGTACATTGCGGGTTACTAACAATAAGTAAAACTTGAGCATGAAACAATGCATAATGCTATTCGTGTATTTTGCGCACGAAACTACGGATGCAATTACATTTCAGAAGCGTTTCTTGTGAGTCGTAAGTTTGGGTCGTCAATTATCTCCGCTATTGTCTTTAGCGAAAGAGAGAGAGAGAGAAAGAGAAAAGAAGGGTGACGACTTGCCATTGTAACAATTAACAATTGCAAAATGAACAAATGAGTTTGTGACAATTAGCGTGTGTACGCTCGACGCTTTCACCTTTCATCAAATTCATGCAGTTAATCGAATAAAAGTTCTGCTTCAGTCAAAGGTAGGGATAATTAAGAACGCGACATCGAGATAAAAAAGGGGACAAAATAGTACACAGACGATGCATTCAAACGCGATCAAGCAAATTTTACGACGTCCAATTTGATCTATCTAACCGAAAAAATTCCTCGATTCCACTCTTGTACATGAAATAAAAAGTAAAAATCATTTTAAATTTTTATTACTCATTTCGCCAAATAAATTTTCGTTAAATAAACGAGCGAAAAAATTTTGCAAGCTCGATATAAAATAAGGCGATCGATCTCGCGGAAGGTTTCATCACATTTTGATTATAATATTTCTCTTCTCGACGCGCAAGATATTTTTGGAGCAAGTCGAATCGTAGAAATCTCCCCTCGTCACCGTTCCTATGACGACAAAATGGAAAGGTATGCTCGAGTGTGACGACGGAGGAATCCTTAATCTTCCAATTCCCTCCGAAGAACCCAATGGCTGTCTTTTTCGCGTCCGCGTAATAATCGGTAAACACAAGTTAGTCGTACCAATTAGAAGCCGGATGTTTCCCGGGTAAGCAGTGTTTGTCATGTCTTTTACATAATTAATAAATGAAATTTACATAATTAATAATTGTGAAGTTAAAAGCTGTAGGGAGAAAAGAAGGATCGGGACTGTGAAATAGTTGTGTGTTAAATTACACAGAGTAAGTCTGAATTTCACGTACGGCTCTCGCGTGTTATCGATCGACTCGCGCAAGCGAAGCCCAACATGGTGGAAAATTAATTTCCAGTGATTATCGAGATCACGATCGATCGCTCCAACGGACCGTGCAAGGATTCATTAATTAAGATCTAAATAATCACTCGCGAAGCCACGTAAGAATCTCGTTAGTCGAGCTGGTATGTCAATAGCCACGGATAGACTATTGCTCGACTTTCAACGAGAACGACATATACATATATGTTCGGGACCTCCTTGCGTCAAACAGGATACGGTTTTCTTGGGCCAATTTGGTCTCAAATGAAATTTCGATTAGATTTCATACGCAATAGAAGGTTCGGTAATAACGAGATTCTATAAAGCTACGTCGCTCGATAATATTGAATTGTACATGTTATCGTTATACAAGTATACGGTCGTAAAATATTTCGCGATACGCGTACTCTAGTCATGCTCTTATTCCTTCTGCATAACCGGCTCTCTCATTTATTCTTCTTCCGCTAAAAAAAACAATACAACAAGAGACATCGCAATTAGCCGACATCCTTTTAATCGTTGAAATTGATAATATTCACCGACACGTTCCGCAGTTTATATATATGAAAGCTAGAGCTGTTGGGTCGCTCGGCTGCATCCATCAAGACTTACAAATTCACCCCTTCCCATATTTGTCCAACCAAATCCATAGATGGTTATGCATAAAGTTACTTCATCGTTTAAATTATGCATTATATGCGCGTTACAGAGTCGGGAAAGCCGAAACTCCAAAGTTTCACGAAAATGCCGGGCCATTAATAAAAGCGGCGATTAATATAACGCGAGGAACAGTTTCTTGTTGCGGATATTTTAGCGAGCAACCCCGACACAATTAAACAAGGCGAACGAGGCTCTCTCTCGCCGAGTCCCCAAACTTTGTCGCGGTTTCACGGCGAGCGCTGCAAAGAGGATTGCGAATACAAGGGTAACCATCGCTGCACTGGCGTGCTTGTAAATAATCCACAAATACCGCGCACCGTATAATTATATGCATATTCCTTCGTACGCGATTCGGCAGCACGCAAGCATTTCCGCTCCGACTCGGTCACGCGATTGGAAACCGACTCGCTAGGAAATATCTCAACATCAAAGAACGTTCCCGCCGTCCGTGCGTTTCCTAAATTGCCGCAACATCGTTCTCGGAAGTGTCCAACGAAAATTTCGACCATCGTCGAGTCCTGCCGATCCTTTCTACGAACCGAGAGGATTATTGTTGTCGCGGACAAGAGGAAATCACAAATTACGCCGCGTACGCGTAACTTCAGGCTCTCGGGATAGAAAATGGAGACGGTCGAGGCCACAATGATGCGCGTCGAGCGAGGGAGGTTGCGAAGGAACAATAAGACAGACGCGAGGAGACGGGACGGAACAGAGGGACGGCCGCTTCATCGCGCCGGAAAATCAAAACACGAAGGACAAGATGACGGGAAAACGGGGAGCTCTCGGCTCGCGTGCATAACACCCGGCACATGAATTAAACATACGCTGTTCGCGATCCGAACGGGAGGAGGAGGAGGAGGAGTGAAAAGGCGACTCGGTGAAATTGGTGTCGAGCGAGGGAAAAGACGCGCGAGGCGGAAGAGGACAGCGCGCTTATGTATTCGTCGAGGGTCTCGGCCAACCGTCGGGTTTCCAGCATTTCGACGATACGACCGGAATATTCAATGAAATTAGACGTATACAAAAGAGACCTGGAAACTGCATAGGCGCGCGACACGTCGAAACCATGTCGATCTACTTGCGATTCGATTCGCATTATCTACGCTTCGGCCAAAGTTTGCGAGGTATCTCGCCCCGGTATCGACTCCGATACCAGTTCGTATATACTAGTTTGCGTCCGATTGGAAAGATAGCCGGAGTTGTTACGAGGACCATATCGAAACTCCAACGACGGAACTCGAAACTCACCCTCGCGAACGGCCACCGCGTCCGCGACAACCTCAGCCGTCACCCGCCGCCCACCCCGCGCTCGTTCGCCTTCGGCCATCTCCGCTCGCGATCGGCCGCGCGCAACCCTCTCCAAAGGGTTGGCGGACAGGGATGACCGGGGTGCGACCAGCGGAGAGGGCGCGGCCGAACGCGGGCACGGGAAGGAAAGAGGCCAAGCGGCCGCTTACGAGGACGACACGTTCCTAGTTTTACGACCGATCATCGACGAGAAGCGAGAAGAGTCTCCTGTCGGGACCGTATAAAGGGAGAAAGACGCGTATTTTCGATCCTTCTCCCCCCGGCTCGTTGCTGGCGCTACATGCGTGAGACGCACGAACGTACGTTTACACACCGCGGAGAGGGGCTCGCACCTCCGAGAAAGGGAGCGCGCGCGAGTGGAAGACAGCCACGGTCCTTTCACACGCGCGCGCATACACGTAGGGCGAGACGTCCGTACAAAGTCCCGCGTGTAAAAATATACATGTATATATACATAGTCGGCACACCAGAGCGGAGGGACCCGGTGCACCACCACCGGGATTCCCCGACCCCGATCCCCGCCATCGTCGGACCGGGTCCTTTTCTCCCTCTCGCGAGCTTCTCTTTCCCGCGCGCTGCCCCTCGCCGCTCCGGCTCTCTCGCGCAAACGCTTTGCTCGCGTTCTCCCCACTCGTCGACGCGTCCGTACGTTTCCATCCCTTCCTCTCGTCTCTCCCACCCCCGCGGAAATATGCTCGGCGTAGCAGCTACGGTGGCGGTGGTGGTGGCGGCGGTGGCGATGGTGGTGGTGGCGGTGGCGGTGGCGTTAGCGGCGGTGTTGCTGCTGGTGGTGCGTGCGCGCGCGGTGCTGCCTTAACGGCGTATCGGTGCGGACGGTGGCTTTAGACTCGAAGCTGCGGAAGAAGGGCCGCGAGCTCGGCCGTGTTCCGATGGCCTGATACATATTGCGGAACGCATTCATGAAGCTCCACTGCCCTGACTCGTCGAGTGAGTAGTACAAGTTTGTGACATTTCCTTGTGCCCTGTGCGATCATCGCCGAGCGAAACTGCGTCGAGGGGTGAACGCGAAGGAAGGGGGAGGGAGGGAGAAAGCGGTACCCCTTGTCGCGCACCTTCTTCTCTCCCCCGCGCTTCCGTTCTCCCTTCCTCTCGCCCGCGAGCGAGAGAGAGAGAGAGAGAAAATATTCTCCGCGAGTCGTCCGCTCGACGACGGTAACCTGCCTACGACGACGACAAGCGGGTCCGCGTTCCCGAGAAACGGACGACCGTCGGGCGACACCACCGGGAACGTCGTGCTCCGACCGTCCCTCCTTCGTGGCGACCGTTAAATCGGCGTGGGTCGATCGAGAGCCGGGGAGAGTAGGGGGAGGAAGAGGCGATATTTAGCCGGCGGAGGGAACAGCAGGAGAGAGAGAGAGAGAGAGAGAGCGCTTCCTCCTCGAGGCCGATTAACAGTTGGCCCGAGGGACGCGAGACGATCGGAGTCGGCTTCTTCGGAGCGGCCGCGAGCCTCGGCCGAGGCGCAATAAATATCGACCACCGGGAGTGGAGGCTTAGCGATGCGAAAAGTGGACCATTCGATCGGGCCACGTCATATCTCGTAGCGCACCGTCGTCGCGCGCGTCGTCGAAAAGGCGCGAGATGCCCCACGATCGCGACATGTGCACGTTCCCGGGGGGGTGGCTCGTGCGCTACCGAGCGTTAGGCGCGCGATGCTCCCGTCGTGTTTGCGCTCTCTGCGCGGCAGCCCGCCAGAGGAGACCCCTTCGCTATAGTAGACCCCTCGCGGATTAGACGAACGCTAGTGCAGTGCGCCGATTCCTCGGGATCCGTCCGTCGAAGGATGCCAAGCGAGGCTCTCCCGGAATCGAAGGAGAAACGTTAGGGGTGCTAGCCATCGCGAAATGTTACGCATCGAGATGTCATGGTCGGTAAACATGTATAGCATCAATTCTCTACGCGGTTCCTCTATCGTATCGAACAATAGTCGACATCGGTTCATCTTGCGGTAGAGTGCGCTAGGAAAAAAAAAGGTACAAGTTTAGGAAGGTGTCCATTTCCTCCCGCGATTTCGACTAATGGATGATATTCTGGTCCGCGCGGATCCGCGCCAATTGCCGATATAGTAATACGATGATGCATTCGTGGCAATGCCAACGCAGTGATGGTGTAAGGTGATACACAGTGCTCATGCGACCGTTACATTTTTCGGATGTTCTACCGCACATGTTAAGGTACGTTTACATCGGTATCCTTTCACGATAATTGTCTCTAGCGAAATAGTGTACGTGTATGCGTGAGACAAATAATGCCGGCGGTAATTGCTTGCCACAATTAGCGTTTCTTTGTGTAAAAATAAACGTAGTTTGGTAACGTTTCCCGGAGAACGTTTCCAAATGTTGCAAAGTAAATCGCGAAAAATCCCGAAAAATCCCAATAAGATAAATAAGACTTCCGATTAAAATTCTTATCGATACTTTTCAATATTCATTCATAAACGTGACAAATATATTACATATTCACCTTGCATCACGTTCTTGCGAATTTAACATATTGCGCAAGCGACTCGATCGCGATTGATATTCCGATGCACGACGTATGATAATCAAATTGGCAGATGTCGGTCTATTCGTGCAAACGCAATCTTAATTTGTTTGATATCGACGCGATAACGTCGATCGCGCGAGCGATGATGATTGGAATTTCACCTTATCGCGCAGTATCGCGCCCGTTTTGGAATTCACCCGCGTGACTTTTCAAGGGCTGATGATTCATAACCGATCGAGCGCGCGAGCTATCGAGGGTTGGTCGGCGACCGACTTTCGCCCCCCGTTGCATTTCGGTTTTTAAACGTGCTCGCTCGTCTTTCCTTTTACTCTCCTCCCCGATCGCTATTTTTAGGACGAAAATATGCGCGTTGCGATCGTCGGGTGACGTGTAAAAATGTGTGTTGGAAATTAATAACTTAATCTTTCAAGCGATCGATTGCTCATTTACCGATGTAGAAAAGAAAGAGAGAGAGAGAGAGAGAATGCAAAAATTTAATTAAAATTTCAATCTATCGCAGCTATTGTTCCGTGAGGCGCGAGATTGGGCGCCTTCGACCGTCTTCCTGACCGTTTTATTTACTCGACACGGCACGGCACGGCACGGCGACCCGAGGGACGTCGAGACTAAAATTGTGTCGTCTCCGCGGAAACATTCATTCAATCAATTTAGGGGCTATTTCGAGGTAACACTCGCCCCCGAGTTTGTCATTTGTAGACAAACTAGATCGATTATATCGACAACTTTGGAGGCAAAGACGCGCGATCCGTCTTTATTTTTATTTATCTCATTTCCTGTCGCACGCCAGCTGTGTCGATTGCGATTAAATGCATATTTTTATACGCGAAGCGGAACTATGTGCACGATAAATTAAATAGCTCTTGACGTTTCGTCAAATTGCCGGATAATTCGATAAAGTCGCTAATTTGAATCTCTCGTCTAATGTAGCGATTCGAGTATTTCTCGAGAGAGAATCTAAAGTAGAAAAGAATTGTCGAGTCTAATCCAAAATCCAAAGAATTCCAAAGCGTCAACAATTTCACTCGTCTTCTCGTTCAATTGAAAAGGGTTAATGCCGCGCACGCTTTTCCCTCTTGTTTACTGAATGACCTGCCTCTGAATAGGAAACAAGGAAATTCGTTATCGTTCGCACAAAGCTTCTCGGGAAACGAGTCCCGTCGAGAGAATTCCGCGAGAGTTAATCCCATAGAAAGGCGAGCTTAGTGTCGCTTCCCACGGAATTTTATGACGACCGTGATTTCTTCCATTGATATTACTTATTCAAGCTCTTCTCCGGATTGGTCCCGAGCACGATTTATCTGGATTTTCTTCGCGATTTCGCAAATAGCGTATTTCTCACGTATTTTTTACAATACGTTGAAATGCTTCGTATAAACTCGCGAATGACATTTATTGCTTCGCAAATGTGGCGACTGTGAAAATACGAAACAACGAAAACGTGTATTTCGAAAAATATGTTAAAACGTATATTCCACGGTAAATGTAAAAAATATATAAAATGGAAAGAAACAAGCCTTTCTTTTTCGAATCGCGATCGAAATCTATCGCTATGTTTTCCTTAATCGTTTAAAGCAGGCGCTATATGACACAACATACCTGTGCCAACAAATGGCCAATATGTGATATCGATAATATCGTTTATGAATTTCAAATATGGTTGGTTTATATTCACACATTATGTGTCGGCAATATTCAATACGATGCGATTTTTGTCATAAAAAAAACAAGAAAGTTATAGCTAATATAAACCTACTACCGCCAATACATTTTTTTCATCCAGATGCCTGATTTAGAGTTATAGTTGAGAATACTTGTCAAAGTGAATAATTTATTTATATATGTATCATTGTTTATGTTAGTTATTCATAAAGAGTTAGTTATTCATAAAGTTAGTTATTCATAAAGAGTTTAAAAAAATATATATAAAAAAATCATGATATAAATCACGAAATAAATCAATGGGTCCTCGATAATTCATTCAATTTTGTCCTACAAGATATTTAGTAAATAATAGATTAGTAGTCAGTAAATACGCAAAACACACATTCATTCACATTTATCTACAAAATAACTCTAATTAAATGCTATATAAAATAACAAAATTAATTTAAACCATCGGTATATATATAAATGTGACCTTGTTTACATGTAATACGCAATCAATTCCATTTTGCCCAGTAAGAGCAATATTCTCTGATAGAGTAACATTAATAAATGACAAATTGAGTTTCGCATTTAGCGTCAGTTATCATAATGATACAAGATAACGCAACAATTGCATTATTAATTTGAACGAACAGGCAAATCCTTTAGATAAATATGTAAATATGGACGAGGTAAATGAAACATAATGATAGGGTGAAATTTCAGATTTGGGTGCTTCGATATAGTCTTTACGGAAGAAATCGGAAAGTAAAAGCCTCGAATTGAAATTCCAGCCGTCAACGACGAGGGTTAACGATACGCGACGAGCAACATTCGCCACCCCCGCGCATAATTAATTGATTTCCTCCGATTGCCGAAAACTCGCCTGTAATTGAGCAGGACATTAATAACTCCGCGCACTGAATAATTCTTAGAAACGTACGTCCCCAAACTCTCGGGACGTGCCCGAGAACTTATCGATTTCAGATTAGCACGTAAATTGGCAGGCAGAGGGAGGATGCAAGCTTGACGAGGCTGCAGGAAAAGGGGGGGAGGGGAGGAGCGTGCTTCTTCCCACGCATCTGCTTGTCCTTAAATCATTTGGGGATTCATTTTGATATTCCGGCTATTTCTCTTCTTTCTATATCCAGCTATTCTTTGATTGAAATTCAGCCTTCGCGCTCTTTCCATCTTTCTTTTCCTCGAAACGTACTTTCCCGAAGGTATATCCATCTTGGAATTTCTCGTTCAAGGCTTCCCAAAGATCACCGCGGTTTCGATTCCAATTTTAAACTCAAGCAAGCAAGGGTAACGAGACGAAAGTTTTGCAACAGATGCCGTAAAACGACCGAGTTAACAACTTGTTTCGTGGAAAATGAAAAGATTCGCCGTATTGGAAGAAACACGAGGGCGCAAAATGGGATAAGATAAGAATTTCGATCGGGTTAGAAATATCTATCGGAGGATAATCCCGATGATCGCGTATTTATTTCTTCTCTCCTCTCTCTCTCTCTCTTCCCATGTTCTCGTCTGTCTTTAGTTAGACGAGAACACTATCCCATTATCGCCAGTCGAATAGGTCTGGGTTCGTTAACCTGGGGATACACCGATATATCGACGACGCAATTTTATCTGGATGCCCGACTTCATCGGATCGCACATGCACAAAGCCATCTCCTCTTTCAGGACAGCACTCGTTTTCCCATCGATACGACGCGTCACGACCTTGATGATGATTCGTGTCGACCTTGCGTTTCATCCGGATGGTAACGCGAGCGCATCAGTAACGAGATATCATCAGTAACGTGAGATATAATATCGCGCGACGACCATTTTTAACTCGGCGAAATTCCGATTTCGCATCGTTTCCGCAAGCCATTCGTTTTCTACCGAGACGACTCTCGGACGATCCGTATTGTCGCGTTTTCGTGACGTTAAACGTGGCCCGAACATCTTTTATATACGATTTTTCGTAGAGGAGCTCTTTTTTCACCGTCTTCTTGTCCCAACCTCGGGTTTCTCGGCTGTGGAAAATGTTCCGCGAAAAAGAAATGGGACGTAAATAACAGATTATATTTGATCTTATGGTCTATGAATTCCCCGATATATTCAGCGGAAATGTTTTCCGAATTTACGACAAGCATTGTCGAGTGAGTTTTATTTCGTCCGAGACAGAGAGAGAGAGAGAAGTCGGCGAGTCTAATAAAGTAAATCTTCATCTGCGAAAATCTGAAAGAGAAGCCTTCATAAGCGTCGACCCGGCGCATTTTGCCGTTCTCCGTGACGGTCGTTTATTATTGCCGCAGTTTGTTGCACGAGCGTAATGCGGAACGACGGAAGTTGAGAGGCGGAAGCGCAATGCATCAGCGCCCGGTTCTCTTTTATTCGAGCTAAATGATCTCCCCGAAGATGAAATGGCCTTATTCATTTGCGAGCTTTGTATGTATGTTTGTACGAGTGCGCTAGAGCACCTCGGATCGCCGTAGGCGAAAATAAAGCGCAAATCGATGCACTCCTCTGCTACGAGTTGAAAAATGTATCCCTCGACTAGATTCTCATACATCACTAGTTTCTTATTACTTTCCGTACATCAATCAATAATTGTTCGTTGCTCGTCGATCGATCAATGCCAACGACATTCGGCAGATGTATGTATTGTTATCGAGAGTGTGTAAAAATAAATTATACGTAAACGTGCCTTGATATACGTTAAAACAAATGTCTCTGTTATTGCTAATTAAATAGCCGATATTTTTGTCCAGTTTTCTTAATCCGATGTGCCTTCATAAATAATGAGAGCAAAGGCACGTCTCGTTCTCGTCGATAAAGTGTATCAAAAGACAAAGAATTAAAAATTGACGACACTATAATGATGTACGAGAAGGTAGCTATTTTTATAGGAACGTCCAGAAGATATTCCTATAAAACTTACGGATACAGGCAACTGTCGAATTGCGATCCGAAAATAGAATCAAAGAGAATTTAGTCTGAGAATCCACTACATATTTGAGTAAGATTTTATTTTCCATTAACCTGATGCGAAACTCGGAACCTATTTGACTATTATTTAATATATTATATTTAATTTAGAGGGAACCATCCTTTGTTTGCGAAAGCGCTTCCTCTACGCAAACTAATCGCGGATTCTAAACGTAAACGAGAAGCGTGAATAATTAAATGACAGGATATAGAAGTCGATTGAAAATTACACCCAAGTCTATCCCCCTCTCTCTGAGCGTAATAGAAACCGACGTTGAAATCCTTTTTAAGATGGCGATTTTTAATTACAAAATGAACAATATTGCGCGCAAAACTCATCGCAGTTGGAATTAAATTTATATTTATACTTTATCCGTTAATATATTCATGAGATAAATAAAGAGGGCGATTTGACCGGATGTTTCAGTGGGCGTGCGGGGGTGACTGGAGTGATGGGATGGGGCCAGAGCCCCATGGAGTTCGGGTAGACCCGTCTCCGGCCCAGCTCCCCAGCCCCCTCCGCCATCGATATCGACACCGCTCCTGCCAACGACGCAGAGGGCCGCCTCGATCGCGATGGAGGCCTCTAGCAATCAACAACAGAAAGAGAAGGAGCCACGCATTCACAGGCCTTACGCCTTCGACAAGGTAATTATACCCCGACGAACAAGCGTGATGTTCTCTAAACGCCACCAAGTGTATATACGGTATACAATTGACGAAATTCTCTCACGTGATAATCGATCGTCGCGTTGATCCTTTCTCGCGCAGATGGAGGGGCTGGTGCGGGAGATGCAAGACCCTGAGAGCGGGGTACCCGTGCGCAGCCAAAAACAATTTCTCACCTCGATCCCTTCAGCGTTCATGGGTGAGTGCCATCGGTACCTGCGTTGTGGAGTAAGCGTAACCGGCCATCACGGCCAGGACACTACAGTAGGCTGCCTGCGTGTTGCAGGTTACGACCTCATCGAGTGGCTGATGGAGCGGCTTGCCATCGAAGAATCAGGTACGGGCTCGTATGTGTCTACCGCTGTGATCGCGTCAGCTGTTCCCCCTCCCCCCCTCCCCCTCCGCCCCCCCGCCCAGTCTGTCGCTCTTTCTCTCCTATCTTATCTATCTCGCTCGCTCATTCGCTCGCTCGTCTCGCCGCAGCCAACACGCGCAACCGCAACCGCTCTTGCCTGAGGATACGCTAACGACTAACACCATCGATACTCTCGCTTCGCCGTTTCCGATTCGCATTTGCATCGATACTTTCCGCTTGATGCCTTTCAACTATCGATTACATATTAACACATGTTACACAGGAGACACTCTTTCATTTTAGAATCGAATATGGATTATTTATCGAAAAAAAAAAAAAAAAAAAATATATATATATATATATATAATATATAGATATAATATATATATATATATATATATATATATATATATATATATATATATAGATTATATATATATAGATTATATATATATATATATATATATATATATATATATATATATATAATCATTATTTTACAAGCGAGAAAACTCGTGAGTCGTTTTTTTTTTCGCGGTTTTCCGGATTTTGCGGTTTTCGGGATTTTTGCGCGCGACAATGCGATGCGAGCGATAATACGTCCACGTGCAAATGCAGAATGCAAATTTCGTCAGATTTCGTCACGTTTCACCGCGCGAGCGTGTAATTCGAGTAAATTTAGCGAGAATTAATGTCGTCATAGCTCACTCGGGGAAGTAGTTGAAGAATTTGTAGTAATTATGGTAATACCGACAACATTTACGTATGCGACAGATAAATTGAATCGAAACCGAATTCATTATTCGATGAGTAAAAATGTTTAAGTTGATATCATCACCAACTCTCTGTCCAAGTGCACAATTTACATTTCCTATAAAGATGGCAAAATTATAATTTAATATGGGCGTCGACGTATGTTCGCTGGGAAAAATTGCGAACAGACAGATTCTACTAAAATATGACACACAGAGCAATGTCGCATCGTTTGAGTGACCTGCACGATTAGAGGCTTTCGTCGATATAAACGTCTCCTCAGATATCAAAGTACATTATTATGTTTGACAGTAGAGGCGGTCCATATTGCTAATCAACTATGCCAGTATGGCTACTTCTTCCCAGTGAATGACTCCAAGACACTCACTGTAAAGGATGATAGCTCTCTGTATAGATTTCAGGTAAGTTATATAGCCTTTGAAAATTACAAAAAGAAATATTTCCAACTCTCTTGTTCGGAATCATCTAATTGTTTATCTTAAAAATTGATGCGCCTAGACACCCTATTATTGGCCGTGGCAACACAGAACCCCTGACAATGTCGAGTACGCGATCTATCTGGCTAAACGAACCCTGAAGAACAAACAACGTCACGCTCTCGAGGACTATGAGATCGTACGTAATGATATCGCAATGTTGCTATCGCAATAACAAGCAATTGACAAGCCCGTTTAAGGACATTCGTAAAAAGAAAACCCTACTGTCTTTAGGAAGCTTTGAACAGCCTGCGCAAGAACTTGCAGAACAAATGGGACATAATACAACTACAGGCGGAAGAGCAGGTGACTAAATAGTCGCTATCGCGCGCTTACTTCTCAATAATAATAAATATATCAAAACGTACACACGCAGAGATATACAATGTGTCCTATATAGATAAGATACAAGAGATTTCTTGCCAACGAGTACCTTTTCTCCTTGCACAATTTTTAGAAATGGATCCTTTTTAAAGAGATATTTAAAATTTTTTTATGACAATACACAATATATCTGTTGTTTTTTTTATTATTTGTGTAAATGATTTTGCGTGCAAAAATTTTTATCATTCTTTATAATGAAGCCTGTGATATTTACGTTACATTATGTAACATTTATTTTGTTAACATAAGAGCCGGCAAACACATTTCACTACCGCAATCTATCTCATGTCATCATTCAAGCAAAATTTCTCTTCAAGTGTCTTATTATAAAAATGTAAATATTAGATTTAATTTAATTATCAGAATTATCACAATTTTTACAGAAAAAAATCAAGAAACAGCAAATTGCATTCTATTAGTTTATTAAAAAATAAGATACCTGAAAGACGATACATTTCTGGATGTTTTTTTAAAAGAGAAAGATGCTCGTCTTTTGACAAAAAAAATATGATAGCATTATATAACCTGTGCTATATGGGACACTTTATATACACATGCACGTATGGTTCCACGTAATGCCAAATTTCGTCCACTCGAACACGCGACTCCTTGAAATGCTACTGATTGTGTGGATTCAGGTACGCCTGTCCAAGGAGCGCAAAAAGGGGGACAAGATAGTGAGCGACTCGCAGGAGCGAGCATTTTGGAGGGTCTATCGGCCGCCACCTGGTTGTCTCAGTAGCCTGGAAGTCGTGCCTGTACCTACTCGTTTTCGTCCCGGACTTCCACGACCACCGTCACGCAAACGTACCCTCGCCGATTTGCAACGCGAGGTGAGAAGGCCGTCGATTGACTCTGTCGAAAGCCTCGATCCAACTAACACGCTCGTATCGATTATCATTCGTTTAGGTGGACCTTTTACGGAACAGTTTGATACGCACGAGGATAAAGGTTTCGACCGCGATCGAAAATTTGAAATCATACTTCAACACGTACGTGGAATACGACCCGATGTTCGTACAGCCGCAACCTTCCAATCCATGGATCACCGACGATCATACGTTTTGGCAATTGAATAGTCCATTGTAAGTAATCGATATCTAATACGTTTATCTATATTCACGACAAATCTAATGATATAATAACTTTCGCGAGTCCAGAGTGGAAGTTCCTACCGAGAAACGTGTTAAACGATGGGCGCTGTCGATGGAAGAACTTATGTCTGATCCTACAGGTAAAACTTTTCGATCCTATTATTAATACAACATCGCTATCGTATCGTTGGCGAATCTTACAAAAGCCGATTCTATCTCGCAACAGGTTTACAAGAATTCACAAATTATTTAAGAAAGGAGTACAGCCACGAAAATATAAGATTTTGGCTGGCAGTCAAAGATCTCAGGCATAGTTTCCAAGCACAAATACCTGACAAAGTCAACGAAATTTTTAGGTGCGTTAGTTTTCATGCATGTACATTACTTATCGCAGTATTCGTTTAAGAGAGAAAAAAATAATCCATCTATGACGCGTTCGAAAACACGCAGAGAATTCCTGGCGCCTGGAGCTCCCTGCGAAATCAACATTGATGGGAAAACGATGGAGAAGGTTCATCAGGAGATGAAGAATCCGAGCAGATTTACATTTGATTCCGCCGCGGAGCATGTATATACATTACTCCTGAAGAAGGATTGCTATCCTAGATTTATTCGCTCCGATCAGTATCGTAATCTCTTAGCCGCTGGAGTGCAACCTCTACAAAAAAAGAGGTAGACTTTAGATTACACGATTTAAGTTATCGTATATTCGTCTCGTAAAGACGACTGAAGCGAAACTGAAGCGAAATCTCCATTCGACTGTCTCAGATTTTTCGGCTTCGGCGGTCAAGCCAAGAAGAAAGTTTCCTCCACTTCGACACCGACGACTAGCACTTTGCAGCACGCTAATATAGGTAGCGGGGGCGGCGGGGGCGGCGGCGGCGGTAGACGAAGAGGAAGCGACCGGAGCCTATCCGGGAGCGCTCACGAGCTAACCGTGTGCGGTGTCCTCCGCGACGTGTCCTCCGCGCCACGAGTGCCGCACTCTCACAGCCAATCGAACCTCACCGACATCCCATACAGGTACGCGGGGTTTGGGGGACCCGACAATGGTCCCCGAAAATGAGAGAGACCGTATCCGTTCCCCGGCGGGATACTCTATGCTTAAAGCATGCTATCCGTTCGCGCGACTGGGACGTGGCCGATACGATAGGCTTATCCGTGCGCGTCGTATTTTCAGGGGAGATCTACCACGACTTGTAAAGATACCTTCGAGGCCTAGTCCACGTAGTATTCAGTAAGTCGCACGCCCGATACATACCACTCGGTTCTCTCTCGATTAAGTGTGGGAGCGGGCGGCAAGAGCGCGGCGCGTTAACATCCGTTTGCGCTTCCTTGGCTTGCTCGTCTCTCCGCGTGCCGATCTCGCGAATACTCGTGATCTCGGGAAAAGAGCGAATCCGGCACACGAGGATGACACAAGGGAGAACGCGGCCCGAGTGATTATTATAACGCGCCCCAGCGTCGCACGCACGCTCCATTGTATCCTTCGTATAGTCAGACTCTTTGACAAACCCTCTTATCTCGGTGTGTTTTGAAAACTCTCGCACTCTCCAAGAAGTCATGCGTTTGTGGAAAGCTCACCAAAATGTGTGTAAAGCAGTATCGGTGGTAATTGTATGACGATATTATGGTGCCCTGCTGCCTTTGAGGTCCTCTTTCATCAAATTCTCAGTGTTTTTTTTTTTCAATACTATCAAATACTTGCGCGGAGTGTTTCAAACACAATTTGCGTCAATTATTCTCTTGAATATAAATGCTAAAGAATAATTAAATTATTATTCACTGATATATATAAATACATTTTTTTGAAACGCTCCGTACAATTGCCTTGATGTTGATATTGTGTTATCCGTACCAGAGTTATTTATTTCTCTGTGTTCCTATATCTGTAATATATTTTATGCGATTGTCAAGCACATAACTTGCACAATGAAAAAGATACACACCCATCCTTTCATGTCGTACAACCCCATTTGTCAATTTATCTAGTGCCCCCCGTAAGAAAATTTCTCCCTCACAATCGCAAACAACTGCGTTGTATTCGACAATGCGCGAGACACAAGGATTCTGAGGATTCAAACTTTACGAAAATACGCGTCCAAATCCGTTGTGGGACGTCCCGGAATTATCGCTCGTTGCTCGGCCACGGACTTTTCATACGGGATAGTTCCGGGACACTTTGCGCACACGTATGTATAGAGACCCATTACTAATCCTAGCCGTTGAATGGAAGCACATCATGCATGTATCGACTGACGTTGAGAAAGAACAGATACAGTCGCACCCCCGCACACACGTACATACACACATATACAACACGCGTGCAAAGCACGTGGTAACTTGCCGAGAGCAAACGGTGAAAACTAAATATAATAAAGTTCCTGTTGTCAGGGATGCTGGCGCGACGGAAGTAGCGGTTCGCCCTATGGACGACGTGTGCCCGTGGGAGTCCGCGCCGGGCCCGAGCACCGAGCACGGTGCGGATGCCGTTCCCTCTGGAGGGACAGCGTCAGCTGATCAGGCCCGGCACGTGTGGGACAGCGGCGGTCACGCGACGATTCACACCGCCGAGGCAGCGCGCGTCTCTCGCAAGAACTCGGCGCAGCTGGACTCGTGCAGCTCGTCGTCGGACGTCAGCCTCGCCATGATCGAGGTCACCGAGCGGCTGCGCAAGTCGACAAGCTTGACGCATGGCACAGGTCGGTTAGGTTCGCAATCGCGGTAGACGAGCGGAGATTGAGAGAGAAGCTCCAAGTTATATACGCATCTCCCTTTCTCGATACAGTGGGCGCAGCGACTTCGGGTCCCGGTACGATAACGCGAAACTATTCCACTTGCTCGGCGAGCGGTCGTATCAGGCTGTCGGAGATGAGTCGCGCGTCCGTGTCATCCTGCAACTATCCGTCGCCTCATCAGTCATTCGAGTACTCCCACGTGGTCGTCGAGAAGGTGGAAGAGAGATCCTCCCTGGAGAAAATCGTGCCCGAGGAGGAGACGTCCACGGAATCCGTCGTCGTTAAAGAGAGCCAATCGAGTCCCAAGTAGGTGCCGTTCCTCGTAACATTCGTAACGCTAATCGAAAGAAATCGAGAGAAATCGAAAACGAAAGACGCCTCGTCCCCAGGGCGACCGCGAAGGCGCCTCTGATCAGCATCAGCGCGATCGTGGGCGACCTGCCGAGCGACAACTCCACGATGGAGAACATCGACGAAGACGCGAGCGAGAGCTGCACAGCGAGGGACGCGGGGGATATCGTCGAGGACAGAACGAGAGGCGAGACCGACTCGCGGGCCGACACCGGGGCGGACGTGTCGCCGGTGGCCGAGGAGGAACCGGCGACGACCGAGGAGCCGCCGGACGAGGTGCAGGTCGTACCTGTCTGGGAACCGGACGCCCAACAGGAAGACCGACCGGCGACGGCGCAAGCGGCGCCTCGGGAGAAGCGTGACAATAATGTTAACGAAGTATGCCCGTGGGAGGACGAGTAAGTACCTGATGATCTGATCCGACCTAATCTTAGGATTACGCTTGCTCTCCCCGCGACAATATTCATCGTTTTTTCAAACAAACCAAATTTCTCTCGTACTCGCACGTAAATTATCCCACGTAATAATGTTCTTTTATTCGTACGGAGCTCACTGTCTGTTTCAGGGAAAACTGTAGAGTGGATGCGCCCTATGTAAAAACCTATGCGACTTTAGGTTACCTGTAATTTTTGTCGTGTTGATATATTCAAAGAAAACAAAGTATCTTTGCATTTTACATTTACGACAGTCACACAAATTCGATTTCGATTTTCACTTTGATCCACTTTACCGAGCTCGCGTGTTCAGATCGTCACACGCGGCAAAGATACCGCGCTTCAATCATCGCGTTATTTAAACGGCAAACATTTTTAGTTGGAATCAAGCTCGCGGAAGCCATGAAGGATCTAATCAAACGAGCGCATCAAACGAGCGCTATCGATAAATTCGCGATATCGCGGCGGAAATGACGGTGTTTTGCGCGCAGGGTAAAGAATCGCGGGCAAATTGCTCGATAGAATCGACTTATTTCGACGCGAAAACATATACGTCGGCATCTAGTCGCTGTTAATATTTACACTGTATGGCCTAACGACCCGATTCGTTTGCTCGGAGTCACGAGGATTCACAACATATGGATCCACTTTGATCTCTTTCGTCTTTTCCGACTTCTATTAATCATTACTATTTACCATTCTTAGCATACGCGAGTCATATTAAAAAGTACGCGGAAATTATTTGTGAAAACGTTAAAGAGACGGGCGCTGTTGTTCATAGAGACATTAGAGCGTAGTCTCTAACGTTGTTCGTAGATTACCGTAGTTTAACGTAGATCGAGAAAAAAACGTGTGTCGCATGAGACGCAAGTAGGTAGATCGTGTCGCTCCGTGTTGAAGCAACGTTCAAAGGTAACGTTGCCAGACAGGGACAATTAACGAGTAAATTCGTGCGCGCGGATTGGGAGCTCTTTATTCTCATTTTGATTCGGTATCTCGCGCAAACGCACGCTCGTAGAGCGCCAGCCAAATCTGAGCCCTTTGGCCGCTCTCCATGGTCGCGCTTTTCCCGGATACCCTCTTTTTCGCGTTCGCGAAACGTTACGTTTCGATGTGGGTCCCGTTGTGCGTTATACGGTAAAGACGCGATTCGCGTTTAATCCGCCCCCCAATTGACCGGAACTTTGATTAACGGTGTCGTATCGAAAAGACATCGCGATATATATATTTTTCCGAAAAATATATTTTACCGATATTGCATCCCAATGCGTGACGCGTAATCATAATTCAAGCGCATCGATGTGCACGTTTTCGTCTTAGAATAATCGCCTAGAGTTTAGCGTGTCTTACATTGTGTCTTACGAGCGTTCGATATTAACTATTGACAAATTATCGTGACCTGATATATCGTAAGTGTCTAATTACAGGTATTTCGTGTTATAGTACACGCCGCTTTGTCGCGATCGCTCTGTCGGATTAATTAAAACCGATGATAGTCGATGGCGGTTGCGGTGATCTTACGGCGTTTCACTCGTTGGCCCTCGCTTGAGCGAATCGCGCTCGCGAATTTATGACATAAAACAAATAAAAGAATAAAAAATATTCGTGTGTGAATTTCCAGAATAGCGTGTGTCAAGTTCTTAAAGTATCCGTTTTCGCCATCGAATCTCTGGTCCTGTCACTGCCCCAGGAACCTTGATTCGATGCTACAAATCGAAAGAGAGAGGCTATTTAAAAATTGCATAAATTGTGCTCTTAACTGTAACCTCGGTGTTTTTTCGTGTCTAGTTTTAAATTTAGAACGAAATAATTATTCTAATAATTACAACACGCGTTTGTCTCACATTCAATCGCGAACTTATGACGATCCTAATGGTCGATTCCTCGTTTGCTTCGATGGAGAGAAATGGATAACTTGAATGGAAACGAAGAATGATCGCCTAATTAGTAGCCCGTTTTACAAAAAGAGATGGAAAGTAGAGAATTCATGATGGATTATAATATGCTTGTAAGTCTTTTATCAAATATTGAATTTTTATTTCGACATTAAACTTCTTCGATTATCGATATAATATTTGCGATTGTTTTCCTAGTTATACGCAATAGCGAGTGCGTGCACAAAAAAGCAAAATACTCTCGATTTTGAGCAATTATTTAAGTGCAAGATGCCGTGTACGACTGGTCTGGACACGCGAGCGTAATCATAAGGATTCTAAAAGTATTCACGACGATTGTACTATTAATTCAGCAGCTCAACTTAAGTATCGTAATGTTCTTATGATAGGTTAGCCGATAATAAGATTAGATTAACACGTCCCGCGCGATTGATGATAGAAGGAAAAATGAAGATAATATATACTTACTACAGTACGATTTCGTTCGCAATCATAGCGATCGCGATACCGAACTACCTTTTCGATTCGCCCGCGAATTTTCTTGTACGAGTTGAAAAAAATATGGTCAAATCTATGAGAGGACTCACACAGAGGACTCGGACGTGTGCTGGAGAGAAACGCGAATTCTAAGCAGTGGACGAGCCACGGAGCAAATCAAAAAAAAAAAATATATTACTCGCCTAAGGACGCTATATTCTGTGTAAATAATTTCCAACATCATCGCGTACGTCGCACTTTTTCTCGTGTCTTGGAAGATGTACTCATCAAGGACCTTGTTGTCGTACAACGCGGGGGCGCGCGCAAGTTTCACAAGCTATCCGTCTGATTAGAATCGCGAGCTGAAAAATTTTCCTAATAATATTGTGGCAAAATGAATGATATATAGATATATATATTTTTTTTACAGTTAATTATATCAATAATTATGTTAAACGTACCGCACTGTTTTTAGCTGCAATTTATAATCAAATTACAATCTCTATTCGTCGATTAACAGATTTCAAGGCAGAAACGATGGATCTTGCGATCGTTGCGATCTTGAGCGCGCATCCCTCACATATCGCATTTTGTATAACTTTAAACCGCGACGCCTGGTGTACATCGATTACACTTAGCATGCCATTATCAGAACTGCAGGTTTTAGCTCGGAAAATTACGTCGAGAGAGATTAATAATGTTTAATATATAAAACACACTCTGAAACATTGATAACAATCCCTTTGCTATTCCAATGTTGCGATTAACTCTTCAGCGTTAGAAAGGAACGTTACGATTATTTCAAGCATGATTAATCTGGCAAAGAGATGGCACTTATATGATATAACGAACGAAATGTGATTAGCGCTCGCATAATTAGCGTACGTAGGCAAAATGATAGTTATGAATAAAGTCCAGAGTATCTTTCTAAAATATAATGTATACTGCTAAAATATTATTACGTAATGAAGGAAATTAACTTGCATAAATTATTCGTGTTTTGCAAGTTGCACTTTTTTAAAAAGTCTGTAAGATCCGGTGCCACGATACATATACATACACATATATATTGTAACATTGCTTTATACAACGTTTCAAAGCGTTTTTGTTTTATAGAATGTTTTCACAGAATTGTACATACATTGTTAAAATAGTATTTATATATATTTTCGTCATACATTTATGAATTATATTTTTATCTAGATATAACCTGTAAGTAACAGCGTTTTTGTAATAAACGCAATAATATTTTTATCACGTTTATTACGAAGAGGCTGGAAAAAATCTGTCGCAAAATAATTTTTATTCACAATCGCAAAAAAATAATAATAGTTATTATTGTTATTATTTAGAAAAAAAGATGATTGTATGTAGATTAAATGAGTTAAACATCGCGTTTTTTCCTTAAATTGGTAAAAAAAATATACACGATATTTTTATTATTAGAAAAACTCTAACCGCGTGGATCCGTCAGATCTAACCAAAATTTATGAAATTTAGATATGCACCAATTAAAAACCAGCGCACCATCGCTTTTCCGCTGGATTAATGATTAATTATTCGATTTGCCATGAATCTTTGTAATTAGTCGAGTACGATGTTATTTTGCGCCAAATTGCGAAGTTTCGCATAAACGCATACGTGAAGCAATTGTTCAAGTGTGTATTTTCACACAGCAGCCTAAAGATGTAAATGCCATCGATAAGCGAGTGAAAATTTTGCGTATGAATCTATGTACTAGATTTAAGATTCCCAGGCATCCTAGAATTTAATTACCTACGAATGTAAGAGTTCCCTAATTGATTCTGAAGATTCGAAACTTTAAGGAATTTAGATGTATCGTTTAATGTATGGATCTGTTGGTTCAAAATGCTTGATTTTGAAGAACGAATTCTCTTACAAATGTGCAAAGATCTGAGATGTGTCGATATATCGATCGATGAGACGATCTAAGGATCCGGGAATTTTATTCTGTTTTTTTTTTTTTGAATCTCCTCTTAATTTAATTTCTCCGAATCTCGATTTAATCGCGCGATTACAGGCAAATTGTATTTTCGTCATATATCGTTGAGCGCGCAAAAAAATTGTTAGGGAGATTCATGCAATTATCATTTACTGTTTTATTTTTCGCAAAATTACATTTTGCACAAAAACGCATATGGCGCAATATTTATAATACACAGAGCCTAAAATGAAAATGCTAGTGACAATAGTATATGTTGCGTCGTTAAACTTGCGACAAAAGAAATATGAAAACGAATTATATAGATTCAAAATCATTTCCAAAATTTATGCTCCTCTCCCTTGTTCCTTAATTAATTAACTTGTCGCGTTGGAATCGAATCGATGTCGTTTCGATTAATCCATTTTCATCATCGATCAGTTTGAAATAAATCTGATCGTAAATTGTGATTTATTTTTCATCGATCCTACTCTGTATCTCTCTCGTAACATTATCCGATATTAAATAGAGAATAATTACAAAATGTGTGCTTTAGAAAACAGAATGTCACGTTTAAATTGCACTGCCAATTCAGCGATAATTAGAGAGAACTGTATTTTTAATTATTTAATAATATGTTATTAATTAAATATTATTTAATAAATGCGGCAACGATACACACATACACACACATGCGATGCATATGTGAAATCGCAATCACGCAACGCAACGACATCGAATCGCCGAGGATAGAGCGAAAATGAAAGCGGATATAATTGAAATCACTCACCAAGTATCAATCCTTTCGCCTTTTCGTCAACGTTTTCGCCATCGTTTTCTCGTCCGTTGGCTCCTCCATTTCTCGGTCGATCGTGAAAATGCGCTCAATTCGTAGCGTTGATTATGCGCCAATTGATGACCATCCGTCACGCCAAATCGCTTACGAATATCGGAGAGACGCGCGTTAATCGCGATTGCATCGACTAATTAACACTTTTAAGCGATCGCTCGACTGTTTTATTCCACTTTCGACACGCACGATGCACGATGATTCGAACGAATAAATAACGCGACGATCACTCGAGAAGCCTCCGCGAGAAGCGCTTCGATAGAAGACGCGGCGGCAACTTCGCACTATTCGCGTCGATCGCGGAAGATAATCGAAAACACGCGTTGTAAATCGAGAGCGAGCGCGTTGATTTAACGAGTTAACGTTCCACGATAAACTGCCGTGTTACTCGATTCGACGCACGCCAAATATTTTCGATCGCAAAGAGACGCGTCGTCAGATCGTCAAAGGACGCGAGAGAGCAACATAGAGCGATACGACGTACGTCTTTTTTCACCTGACTCGACTGACGCGCGATCCCCCCCACTCCTCCCTAACCCGACCGGCGCGAGCAGCCGCGTGAACTTGGCGTGAGTCACAAACACAGACGCGCGTTAAGTGGAGCTACAATAAAAACTTGGACTCTGTCTCGTATTCTAAAATAACATCGAAATTTGTTAATTATCGTCGCGTATTTTGAGAGCTTTGGGTTGATACGTGATATTGTATTATATATTTTAGAAAGAAATTTTAATATCAATTATATCATACAAACGCGATAAAATATTTAACATTATTTAAACGAGTATTATTATATTTTCTATTATATTATATTGTTATACATGTGTTTATGTTACGATTAAAATTTATTAAAATTTTTATTAACGTATCATAATTATATTAATTAGAATTTCTTTATTTAATTTCTCTTTCTCTTTCTCTTTTTCTTCTCTTTCTACTCACCTTTGAAATTTTGCGCCCACGTATCAGCGCGAAGCTGTCGACGCGTGTTTCGAATTTTTCACATCTCGATGACGACACGTAATATCGGGAATAGCGTGCAAAGCGCGACGAACAATTTTCTATTATTACATTATTTACTCCAAGTGCATCATCGAGCGTATCACGCGTAGAGTAAATCGGGAGTGCGAGTAATAAAGTGATGGGCTGATCGTGGAGCTGCTTTAATTATTCGCGATTTTGCGGAAAAATGGAGCTGTCGGCAACGAGGAGGCAATGATCGGCTGCACCGGTCGGTGAGTAAATTCATTATATTCGAGCGAGGCTAAAATAACCGCTTCATTTTTTACATTCGCGATGATTTGACAATTATTGGGCGAAAGAATCTACAGAACATACACACATACACACAGATTATCTTTCGTTTCACGGTTTTTCGAGATAGCGGAAGCATAAAAAATTTCTCTGACGACCTTCCTGAGTAGGAAGTGAGACATGTTCCATCCTTGAATAATTTCTTATCCTTGAATAATTTTTCTAACGCGAAAAGTTAATATGCAATTCCTTCGCTCACTCTCGCAAGAACCATGTTCATCGGAACGATAGACGCATACCAAGAGCGTTCTCAATCTGGTCGTCCATGATCGAAAAAAATCGAGACGATTGTCTACGCGTCGCGATTAATCCTCCCATTCCCTCGAGATAATTATATCGAAACCATTTTATTAAAAAGCGATTTGCATTTAAATATTTTTATTAGATTTAATATTGCAATTTATTAAGTATATTTAAATATCATTTAAACGAAAACAATAATGTAGTACATTTTATTTTTAACTTCATTATTAAACAATGAAACAAAAGGTATCCGTAAATTGCAATAAAATAATACAAACGTATACATTAAATGAGAATGAGAGGATTAATGAACGGGAGAATCCTTTGAAAATATATAGAAAAGAGGAGGGAGAGTATTCGAATAATTAAGCCGTAACCGGGGCCGTGGACGTTAATTAGTTGCTTAGCGATTAGCAGGGACGAACAAAAGATACCTTTGTATTATTGTACACCTTGCGCTAGGATTTGGCGTAGCACGAGTTTTGACTTGACGCGCTAATATTACGCACTTTGTCGACGATTATTATACCGCGCGTCCGAGAAGATGATATAAATATATATATATATGTTGTATATGAAGAGAAATATGAAGGGGCAGGCTGGAAGAAAAAAAAAATATGTTACTATATAGCTAGCGTTGTAAACGATAAAGAGAGAAGGCTTTAGTGTATATAGTTTTGTAAAGTGTTAACTATATAGTGAGATCTCTATATAATATATATATATACATACATTGCTACGAAAACGTACGAGCGCATACGTTTTCTAATTGGCATGATTAATTTATGAGTAATTTATTCACATGAGTTGTGTGGCAATTGGAAACGCATTAAAAACAATTGGTAAAACTGTTCGTTTCGTTAAAACATAGTTGCGTTAATTAATAATATATCGTGCGCAAGATCGCGAAGATGCGTTGATGGTTACGTATATAATATGTGATATACGCGTAAAAAAAAAAAAATTTTAAGCTGTCAATAGAGAATGTCCTAATATTAAATATCATAGTGCCATTACGCATTCTTCTTGTCACTCATCCGTTACCTCTCTCACGTTTCAGAGTAAACATATTTTTTTTTAAATCATACTCCCGTAAAAACAATTTTTTTCAGCTTTGCAGAAAAAAAAACGTTCGCGAAAAGGTAAGAAAAATTTTTTTATAGAGTAGAATTTTGTCGCAAAATTATGCCTAAGTCGTAAATGTAGATTAGATAGGCTTTTTATTAATTTCTATTCGGCGCAGTACGCGTTGAGATTCGCATCTTAATGCTACATGTGGGATGTCAGTGTCGCGTTCACAGCTTCAATAACAGTTGCAGCGATCGGTCGGACAATTTGACGGATAGCGCATGCAACGTCTCAGGCAATACTGATCCGCTCCGGGTTTCTCAGCGATATCTCCGATAGCGTCGCACGTGTCACTGCGAATACATATATCTCTCAATAAACGAGGATTAAAAAAGATTGAACGCACGCAAATACATTGTATTACGCGATAGCCGGCGATTTGATTGTTTAATATAATTTCGAATCAATGGTCATTTATACTCTCGCGTATATCGATCAATTTCAATACTCACAGACAATGGCAGATACCCGGCGGGCAGTTTGACGGGATACGTATGCAATTCACTTGACACCAATTGTTCATATCTTGCCTGTATCGATAAGCAGCGGTCGCCTCGCACACTTGAACCCTGAAATCGCGAAACGTCCGTCGTGAAAGCGCGAATCGATTAAATGCACGTTAATTCTCGATGTATTAATTATGCCGATTCTCACCTAAGCGGTCGAGTTAGCGGGCTGCTCGTGAATTTCGGAGCTATGGAATACAGTTGATAAATAGTATTTTGATACAGAAACTGCGGTGGGATCCCACCGGTGCTAGTGACGATCCTTACGTCCGCGCAATTCCTGAACGTTTCCGGTCTTCCGCATCCAACGGCCTCCGTGCCATTTTCGCACGTGCCCCACATATTACCTGGGACAATGGAAAAAATGAAAAATCGAGTCGCCGAGAAAAGAGAAAGATGGTGTAAAATTCACCGGTGTAATAATTCCATTGGACGACACACTGGGAACACGTCAAATACGGCGGTAACGTCACGTAATATTTGATTATCCCCTTTTTTCCCGTATCGCGTGGAATCTCGAAACGAACGTCTTGCGTCCCAGACACGTACAAGGGATAACTATGCAATTAAGATACATTAGTGATAAGCGAGTAGTTGTAATGAAACGGATGCGCGAGAAAGAGAGAGAAAATACTCACGAGTCGAAACATTCTTCGGTCGCCTCGCGCGATGGATCGTCATTAGGACACAGATACATCTCGAATCTTCCATAATGATTGGCCGTTAGCTCGATTTCAACTTCAATTTCCTACAAATTGTACTCTGACTTTAAACCTGCATTATTAGAAATTTTTTTAGAAATGTATCTTTTTTTTTTTACGTGCAAGTATGCGAAGAAAATAATTATGTAATTTGTAAGAGGTAACGGTATATATAATTCATATCTTTAAATTTAGTGTTCAATACATACGAAAACATTACGAGTTTGCAGATTACATTACCTGACCTACGGTGTAATGTCGAGCGATGATTCCTTTGGCAAATTCGCCACCAGCTTCATGCGGACGCGGTTGACTCAAGTGATACGCGTCGCCGCAAACTCCGCATTTCCCTTTATTTTGTTGCCAATGAACTATAAAACGGTTAATAATTATCATTAATATCAGCCAATACTTCAACATCGAGTAGCAAGTCGTAGTAAATTAAGGAGATTGCCGACGAGTTTTTGCGAACGCACCTGCGTATCCTCCACAAAAGAGCTCATTGTCGTTGTAATTAACATTATTTGGATATCCGAACCTCCACATCGCGTTTCTCGAAGGTGGGTCCATTAAACGACCATGGCCATGTATCTCATCGGGCACCTTTTTAAATCGCGACAATGGTAGATGATTAAAAAAGGAAAGAGAAAAAGGAAAAAGAATGTTGCGTAAGAGAGAATGACTTTGCACACCTTTCTTCGATGTACTTTCCATCCATCATTAAATGGGCGGCCTCGCATTTACTTTTACTGGTGTGCAAAGTATTAAGGGCGCGTCCGCGGGAAAGTATTGTGAAATTGAAGAACCGCGCGAGACTTGAGCGGTTATGCATCGAAAAACGAGTCGGTACGTAAGACTTTCGTTGCCATTGGCGAAAATTTATGTGAGAGAATGTCATGAAGTGTTTGAATACGTTATTATACGGTTCGTGATAAAAAAAAGGGAAAAGTCTGTTTGCAATTTTAATCTCGCGCGCGTAATTATTAAACGTAAGCAAGGGAAACGATCTTACTTGCACGAAGAGATATAATATCACGAACAGGATATCGTTTCGTCGATGCCTGGTAATCATCTTTTCCTGAAAACCATAAATATTGTAATGATTAGTAAAATATTTTTGCTCATTAATTAGTAAATATTTGTGCTCGAATGAAGCGATTTTTTAAAATTTCATTTATGTAGATATATTTTGTAGTCTAAGAGAGCCAAGAACTTTTTCATTACTGCCAATAGATGAAAAATTTATTATGAAGTGAATAAAACAAAACGACTCATTGAATTAATTCGGTAAATTGTAAAGTATTCCTCGTTATCAGGAGCACTTGAGAAATACGAGAACATTACTTCGGACTTGTCCCAGATATACATATTTAAAAGCCTAATAAAATGAGTTCCGGTTTCGAAAGACGGGGGCGAAAAACGTCCTTGCGATGAACGTCCTTGAATCAGCTGATTAGTACCGATTCTTGTATAAGAAAACGAGACGATGCGTATTGTGTTGTTACAACAATAATGACGAGCACATGTGTCATCGACACTTGTGTCATGTATAATATTATCAGGCGATACACGTAACGTGGATTAGAATCGGCGCCAAGAATTGTTTCACATATTCTTTCAACAATTTCGCAGAGCTCTTAAACGCGTCACTTTTAAACTTTGATATTTTGATATTTATTCTCTCAATCGATTATATATTAAAATTCATCGATATGTCAATCGATCGTTAACATATCCATTAGCACATCAGACTGAGTGAGAATTCGCTGACATTCACGCGTACACTCGTGTCATTGACAGCTGTTTAGCACGCGAGATACGCGATGACTTTAAAGTGACGTAAGTCTCCATTGGGCCGAGGATGTAATATAAATCATTTAGAATGCCATATTTCCAATCGCTTCTGATTGTAAGCCGAATTCATTGACCGTAGCTTCAACAAATAGTATCATAGATCATAATTCGCGGCAGATGCAAAACTCGATTTAGAAATGAAATAACGGTACTTGATTTATAAATCTTTTTTCGACGAAATAACTGTGCGTACCTTCAATATGTGAATAATATCAATGTGTAGCATATGATTGATGTAGCATTTATTATCGCGTTACTGTACGAACCCTCGATTCATTATATATACATAGATTTTCTGCCCGTCTTGGATCTCTCGCTCTTTTATCGTGTAACGAAATCTACTGCTCTCAGACAGGTAGTTTAAACAAGTCGAAAGTGGATCCGCAGCAACAGGATTCTCGAAGTCACAATGGGACACATGTTCGTTTTTTTTTTTCGTGATAAAAAAAAATAAAACGAAAGATTCGCCAGATGTAAACCGCAGCCGGTTAACCTTCGCCGAGAGCGAAGCTTTCATCTCGCTACTATCAAAACGCAATGATAAACGAAGGAGACCGAAACGAGCGACTCGCTTCAAGGGACGTCTCGAGGAATTTGCGTTGGAATAGACGAAGATAATGGGATTCAAAACGATGTCGCGAGGTGACGATCGGAGGCATAAATCCGACTCTAATAACACCTAAGCCCGTCTAGTTCTGACAAACAATGTCCTTATCGTTCTCCGCGATCTTCATCGTTCGGAATTTCTCCAACGTGAATCGAGGACCGTTTGTCGCATAAATCCATCGTAGGCGGGACGATAATAATCGCGAAATCGTAAAAACCCAAGACAAATGGAGCATTGACTTTTGGAAGAAACATAAATCGAATAACGAATTCTTTCGCGGGGTGAACGACCGGAAAAAAGAAATTTGTGAGTCTATTCAAATCCTATATTATATACTTTATAATACAAATACGAAAACATGCCGTTATGATGAAATTTTTTTTACGATTTATAGAATCTGTCTAGTAACGAGTTCTTCCGTTAGATTCTTTTGGAGCTATAAGATAGGATTATAGCTCTCTGGCTATCCGCTGAATTATATCCCAACTATGTAAGATCGCTCGTTACCGAACTTACATTCTGATCGGACCTAACATTTTTATTGGTTATTTTATATTATCTCGATTCATAAATATATCAAGCGAAAAAGAAATGTAAAGATAAGCTAATAAGCCGCGCAAGTACGAGAGCATAAGTTATCGGCGTGTAAGCACACGTGAATCCTCCTTGAATCGTATTCTCTTCGTATGTCGGGTCAATCGCTCGATTCGAAAGTTGCAGTCATAAATTATCGATCATTTGAGTTTATAAACTCGTAACATTTAAATATTTGTAAAAACCACGTTTTCTTGAAATAAATTTGATATAAATTTTACTACGTTAATAGGGAGAAAAATTAGAAAAAATGGGCGATTTGATTTCACGGCAGGTCTTGAAGAGACACGGACGAAAGGTGTTCTTGACGAAAGATAGACAATGAATAAAAAATTATTAGTGAATAAATACTTAACAGTATTTTGGCAATTAAAAAATAATTACATCGCATATTGCATCATCGTACAGATGATAATATATAAAAAAATGGAGCATTGATGGCTTATCTGATCATGATCTTTAAAAATCGAGTTTGAGTTTCACCGGTTTCGAAATACCAGCATCGCGAAAACCGCAAGATAAGAGAAAAATAAATAGAAAAAGAGAGCAGAAAAATGAGATTAAAACTTTCTCTGCTTTCAAGGTCGCAAAAACTCGAAAAAAATTTATTTAAAAATATAGACAAAAGATTTAAGTCGATAATTGAGTTTAAAATTTTTTATATCGCGATGTACATGATTGATCGACGGGAATTGAAGATGCGACAGAAAATAAATATAATCATCGATAATCGGATACCAATTTTCGCATAGATTTCGGAAATTATGAGCAACATTAACCCAGACGACCGGTTATATTTTCAATCTATTTTGTAGCGCATTAACGGAGATACGAATGACTCGAGCAAAGTGTATCGTAACCGGTACCGTAAACCAATTATACTCACACACGTGATCGCACGTGCTCGGCCTGACGATGGATCCGGACAGGTGGACAAAGTTTGGTCGCTCTAGAAGGATGCTCTCTTTCTCGCGGATGTAGGATGTCACCTGGGAAGAGACGACTCCGCGGTAAGGATCGGACGGACCCACTCGAGTGCGTTCGCGCGAGTGACAATATGCGTGAGTCGCGCGCGGCCCGAGCTGCCCAAAAACACGACCACCTCTCCACCTTGTGGGCATAAGGTCTCGAGGCGTGGTTTCCAAGTAAGTCGGATGTCTTCGCATTATAGTGGGGGCGAATCCGAGCGGAAACTGGAAAATCGATCGAACTGATTCATCATGTCGATTTTTACTGACGAAACGCTTGCATTATGAATCTGTCAGAGTCTGAAAAAAGTAAGAGATATTTCCTTGGATCGTCAAGTAAGATATCTCTTGACTGACGACCAGCTCGATTCATTGCTTTCATCGAGAAAACCTGCCCGATTCTTTTATACTTCTCCGTCTCGAGACGATCGTATAATCGATTGTTTGCCTTCTGTCATTTATAATGAGGTCAAGCGCACTACAAACACCATGGCATTTCAACTGTACAGAAGAATATACACCCACAAGTGTACGCACACACACATAGATATACGTACATTATATATATATATATATATATATATATATATATATTATATACATATATACATATATATATATATATATATATATATATATAATATACATATATATATATATATATATATATATATGTATATTATATATATATATATATATATATATATATGTATATATGTATATAATATATATATATATATATATATATATATATATATATTATATACATATATACATATATATATATATATATATATATATATAATATACATATATATATATATATATATATATATATATTATATATGGAAAAATAACGATTGCAATCGCCGAAATTTAATAACGATTTTTGTGGATAATATATGTATGCATGTATATATGATACAACACACAAAATATTTCATGCCTTCTTTTAATTAATGTCGAATTAATTATGTTGCGTCATTTAGTAGAATGGCATATAAGCATAGATGTAGGTAAATTATGACGAATAATGGAGAATTTATCAGGAATGATAATCATTTAAATTATAAATTTAAATAAAAGGTTTTATGAGGAAAAAGTCCAAAATTGTACTTTCACTTTCACCGAATCTTGTGGTCACGCCACGGAATCGTTGAAAATACAGTACTATTCCTGACACGAAGCACAACGGTATTTGTTGACGGTGCAGACAAACAGACAGACAGACAGACAGACAGACAGTTGTGTAAGCAAGAACGACAATTTGATATCTTCCATTAATCAGTAGCTACTTTCGCAGTCAGGTCGTCGCGAAGAGAGCTCGACATTTTTTTCACCTTCGGTGACTTTTACGCGCTGTCGAAAATATTTGTCGCTAAAAAATCTGTGATTTTTTTTTTACAAAATACCGGCAGAAATTTCTGTATCTATAATACTTTTGGTATTTTAATAAATTCAAAATTCTAACAAAGATAGAATAAAAAAATTTCTGAGCAGAAGCGACAATTCATGCGTAACTCGCGCCCTCAACGGGACTCTCGGCTCTCTCTTTTAATGCACTATCAGCGCGTATCAGCGACCAGTACGGCACCATCCCTTCCGCAGTGACGACGTCGTGGAGAGCAGCCCTCCCTGCTCCTATCTCAGACGGAAATGATTGTTAACAAGTGTCATCGTGCACTTAGTGCGCAGACCTCGCTTCGACAACGGTTAAACGGTATTTACCAAAATTCAATCATCTCTCGTCGTATGTTTGTATAAATTCATATAACTATGAGAACCGATCGGAAAACTCGCCGCTCTGTCGCGAATGCTGTATGGACCACGACAAAATCGATAAATTTGTCCTGACACCAGCTGCTCTGCTACCTCGCGGATCTTAAAGCTATATACAGAATATAACGCGATTCAAAAGTAATATCGACAGGATTAATTAATACATTAATTCTCTCATGTACCTTTAATCAGAATCTGTATCTTTTATTGAAATGGAAATTTTAAATGAAGACGTAGCTGAAAAAATGTTTTATTTTTGTGTAGATTTTTTTTGTGTAAATTTTGAATGTTAAGATGTTAATTTCAAGTCGGTTTTATACAATATATTTTATCCAAAATTTTAATAGTTAGTTTGTTTATTCTTCAGCTCTTGTGCCAAGAAGGGACTTGATTACAATGTTTGTACACATTCATCCGTCCATACATCCGTCGTTTACATCTAAACCTAAATGGCTAATTCTTCTTATACATTTTTCTACATTTTTATCTTTATATCTTTTACATTTTCTTTTTACACACACACACACACATACACACACACACACACACACACACACACACACACACACACACATGCCTACCTATTTACTTCCATATCAGCTCACATACATATCTACTTACATACCTATACACTATACATATATATATATATATATATATATATATATATATATATACATTTATTTACATTCCTTTATAAAAACTTTAACATTTTCTTATCTTAATTTATTATATATCACATAGTATCACATTTCATTTTCTTTTATCACATATTTCGCTTATATTTATAACTTATAATTTATTATTTCCTTTATATTTTACGTTTATTTCTTTACCTTGTTATTACCTTCATCTATCTTTTATTTTCTACTTCCATTTCTTTCCTACCTTATGTAAGCTCTTCAGATTGTTCTATATACTTTTTTCTTTTTCCTCTTTTTCCTTCCATAATTTTTCTAGGGGTTTTCCTTTCTCTTCCTCTAAGTCATCATTCAGTACTTTTTGAATCCTCTCATTTACATTTCTCCCTAAACCCGCAAACCATTCCTTCACTTCTACACATTCCCCTACATAATGTTCTATATTATCTATCTATATTATTCTTCTTCATAAAATATACATATCTTCTATTCCTTTTCCTTTATTCAATACCTATTTTCTCTTTCCATATTATCGCATTATCTTAGTGTTAATAATGCTCTTACCTTATCATCTATTTTCCTCTTTTTCTCTAACTTTTCATTCAAAACTCAACGCTCCAATTCCCTACCTAATTTTTGATTTTTCCAGACCTAACTCTTTCCTCATTATGTATCTTGGTATGCAAAAATCTAATCTAAAAATCCACCTAACATCTAGCATTACCTTTTCTAGCTCCTTTTTTTCTTCCCATCCATATTTCTACTCCATATTTCTACTCTGTATAACATTACTCTGCACTAAATAACTATATAATATCCATCTCCTATTAAAATCGTCTTTACATATTCTTTCTCCTAAACCCCATACTCTACTTGCTGCGATTCTCCCTTTCCTACATAATTCCCTAATATGATCTTTATAATTACCTTTCCTGTCAAATGTGAAACCCAAGTATTTGAAATTTTTTATTTCCTCAATTTCCCTATTTTCCCATTTCCATATTTCTTTATTACTTTTCCCGCATCCAAAATTTTAATAAGAAAGATTATTTTAAAATTGAAATTTAAAATGTTTTATCGAAAGATATTTTATTCATTCAGATTCATAGATTATTAAGCAAAATTTCTAATAATTAAACATCTAATAATGAATTTGTATTTTAATCTCGATGGTGGAATCAATATACATATATTAATATAACATATAAATATATATAAGTGTCGAACGAGCTATTTCGAATTCTTAATAATAGATTAAAGCCAGAAATAATTTTGCACGAAGAAATTATAGAACGTCTTATTTAATATACATAAATATGTAAACATATACGTGAATATGTAAACATATTATAAATGTGTGTGAATACGAATATGTTGACATTTGCTCGATGCAGAAATAAAAATATAATGTATTCTGATAAAAACATTTTTGGCAATCATATCGTTCTGTATAAAATTTATCTAAATAAGAGAGGTATAAAAATACTTTTTTTTATCGAGTGTGCATGTGAAGAGAGAAAAAGAGAGATATAGTATTTATATATTTTTATTAATTCTAGAAAATAAAATAATTTTTGTTGTCCACTATTTTATCTATTTGATATTAGATATTAAAAGAGAATTATACAATCTTACAATATTTTCTCTATTCATGTTTTATTTTGTGCACTCGTATCCTGTATCTCATACCATTGATACCCTCAAGTGGTTTAAAATGATATATTAGGCATTCTTAATTGATGTCAATGAAACTAAATATCATATCTGTTGAACGAATTAACTATAGTTAAGTTTTCTTATATAAACATTTTTCAATCTCCATTAGTTTAAGATCCAAAAGTACAGAGAGAAATTTATTTACATAGATATATAAATATTTATAGTGAAATAAGAACCCAAAATAAGCACCAAGTCGACTGTCAGTCGGCAGAACAAGTTTAAAGTCGATTTCAAAGTCAGACTGAATGTCAAATTATAGTCAACTAACAGTTGATAAATGATTCGATTATAGTCGACTGTCAATTAAGTCGACTTAGAAATAGATTTTATGGTAATTATATCAATCTTCGGTCAATATAATATTATCTATATTACTCACTCGGTGCGTAATATTTCTGAAACATGCAATATTTCATTTGAAATATTAGCAATATTACAGAAATATCTCATCATTTCTGCAACGTCCGCATTAATTATTTCAAATGCAATAATGCGTATTGAAAGATTTCAGTAATCGGTAATATTATTGAAATGTTACTTTTTTCGTTTCTGGTAGGCGAATATCTTCGTAAACTTATAAAAATATATAAATACACTCGTAATAGAAATACTTTAATATATGCAATAAATGGGCTATTTCCCATCTATCCGATAATTTCAAATAATTTGTTTAATATTCTGAATCTCAATAAAACGGATTCGGACTAAACAAATTACTTTACAATAAATCAGTTTATCATAAATTAAATCGACTATAAAGAAGAGATATAATATATATGCTCAAGTATAAGACCATAATATTATTATTGTGCAGGCGTTATAACGACATGGAATAGATGCTTAACCGGTTCAATGTCAAGAGAGCCAGAAGGGCCGATAATTATGACGGAAATACCGGGTCCTCAGTCGCGAAGCTTGCTACAAGAATTGAATGCGATACAAGTACGTCAGATGCTGATTTGACCTAATAAAAAATGCAGTAATCGTATAATTTATATATTAAATGTACAACCATGCACTTTTAACAATTGGATCTTGAATTCATTCAACAGTGATTTACATATATATTAATATTACTTAGATATATTGAAATTAAATATATTGAAAATAATGCATAATATTTAATATTAAATGTACAAATGTTAAAGAGACCCGCGAAACGAGGGTTACAATGTTAACATCTGTGACTTCAGCAAGCATCTTCCGTACAATTCTTCGCAGACTACGAAAAATCCTCCGGTAATTATATAATGGATGTTGACGGGAACGCGTTGCTGGACGTTTATATGCAAATCTCGTCAATGCCTCTAGGGTACAATCATCCGGCGATGTTGGCGGCTCTCGCCGATCCCGTTAATCAAGTGAGTGATATAAAGCCGCTTTGGCGCGGGGCACCGCATTTTTTCCACATACACAATTTGCATACTAATCTCTTACAGGACACATCACTTAAACCTTAACTGCATAGTTTACACGACTCGATAAGCTTTTTTGAACAACCCAGATTTCTTAGAATATCCTTCAAGAACCAAATTTTTACATTACACACAGGACAATCGAGCTGCATACAAATATTTACGATTATTTTTCTTTCTTTTTTAGAAAATTATAGCAAATAGACCTGCGTTAGGTGTCTTCCCGGGAAAAAATTGGCCCAACAGATTAAGGAATATTTTGCTTAACAAGGAGGTATCTAATAAATTACCTATTTGATTTATCTCTCATCACGTCGCTTGAATCGAAATTATTATTCTGGACAGGTTGCTCCAACCGGATTATCGCATATTACAACAATGATGTGCGGTTCTTGTTCTAATGAAAATGCTTTTAAGAACATCTTTATTTGGTATGCAGAGAAACAAAGACAAGGAAAACCATTCACGAAGGACGAGATAGAATCATGTATGATAAATCAAATTCCTGGTTCGCCGCGATACTCCATTATGTCCTTTAAAGGTGCATTCATTATCAATCCGAGCAAAAATATCGAAAACTAGATTTATTATAAATAATCTTTACACAAAATATTTAATATTGGTAGGTGGCTTCCATGGGAGAACTTTAGCTTGTCTCTCAACAACTCATAGCAAATACATTCACAAAATAGATATACCAGCTTTCGATTGGCCTATAGCTTCTTTCCCAGAGTACAAATATCCTTTAGAAGAAAACGTCCAAGAAAATCAGATGGAAGATAAACGTTGCCTTGCAGAGGTATCGTTACTTACTAATTGTTAAATATCTTTGTAGCACGTCACATGTAAGAGACAATTTTTTAAATTTTACGAATATTTTAGGTCGAAGAATTATTTGAAAAATACAATAATGAAAAGAAGGTTCCAGTGGCTGGCGTCATCATTGAACCTATTCAATCGGAAGGCGGCGACAATCATGCATCATCGGAATTTTTTCAAGAACTTCAACGCATAACGCGAAAAGTAAAATATAGAGGCAATTCTATCTCAGGTTGTTTATTAAGAAGGATGTTATCATTTTGCATTAAAATATTTCAGCACGGAGCAGCATTGCTTATCGACGAAGTCCAGACTGGTGGCGGTCCAACTGGAAAAATGTGGTGTCACGAGCACTTCAATTTAGATACCCCACCTGACGTGATGACTTTCAGCAAGAAAATGCAATTAGGCGGTTATTATCACTCGAAAGATTTCAAGTAAACATTTTTTATGAAAAGAAGCTAGTAATTTATCATAGACTATTAACGATTAATTGCTCATTAACGCAATTGTACATTTATAGGCCGAGACAATCATATCGTGTATTCAATACCTGGATGGGCGATCCAAGTAAAGTGATATTGCTCGAAGCGATCTTAGAAATTATCAAGAGGGAGAATCTCCTGGATAGAGTAATACGCGTTGGCGATTATATGTTGAAGCATTTGATGGATATACAAAAGGAGCACTCTAGTATAATTAGCTCGATGCGTGGACGTGGAACTTTCATAGCGTTTAATTGTACCTCTCCTGAAATGCGAGACACCATCATCAAGAGATTTACAGTCAAAGGTAATGTGGTGTCGTATATAAAATATAAATGCTAAGAATATACCTCAAGTTTTCAAGATTTCCTTATTCTTGTTAGGTATTCAGGTAGGTGGTTGTGGTAACCGAGCTGTGCGACTGAGGCCTGCGTTAACTTTCACAGAGCGTCATGCTGATATATTTTTGGATGCGCTTCGTTCTGTACTGAAAGAATAAGGGTAAACTTTGCGGTTTTTCGTGTTTTTCAAGTCAAACCATCACGTCTTCCATATCAAATGTCTTCCAAATTATATGTCTTGTATCAAAGAATGATTATGGAGATGTGTATACGGAGTTAAAAATATATTGATTATTTTTATATGGCAGTTGCATTATAAGGCTAACATAACTTTAAAGAAATGATGAAATAATGAACTGCAGCAAGAATGTATATTTAATGATTTTATTGATCGCTACTTTGTGTATTTTTATTGCATAGGACAAATTGTTACAATGAGAGATTATATAACATTTTAATGCAAGATTTAAAAATATGCTATAAAATTATGCTAATAGTTAACAATAAGTTAACTATTAATTATTATAATTTTTATATGCAATTTTATTTTTTGCTATTATTTATTTCATTAATCGACTCAATTAATGTAATCAAATAATTTGTTTTACGATAAAATGTCTTCCGAAAAAAAACTGCCAATAAAAAGTGTTTGAGTTATGTTCTGTGTTATCGATAAGCTTTAATACTATTTATCTCGACATTTTCCTGATTGTGAGTATCATGTGCACATAAAAAGACCATAAATCGATAATTTCTGAATCGTGTGCTGTCCTTATCTGCAAAGAAATAATTAAAGAGTATTAAAACAAAATTATACATGAAATATCTAAATCCTGATTATTGTAAATACATATTTATCATTGCTTTGGAAAACATATTTGTAGAATTCGCTCTTAAATTTATTTACTAATTCATTCCTCTTATCAAATTTTAATTTAATATATTAAATTGATGTAGAGAGATTCTAATAAATTCTAATAATTTTAAGTCGAAAAACTATACGAAAATAGTTCTCTTTGAGAAGCTATTCATAAACTTTCGTCTTCCCCTTGAAATTGTTAGCTCTTTGCACTGGATAAACGCACGCTATCAGTGCATATCACTAGTCAGTACGGCATTATCTTTTCTGTAGAGAACGTCGCGAAGATCAGTTCTCTGTATTCGCGCTTTTATCGAATGGAGATGATTGCTAACAAGTGTCATCGTGTGCTGAATGTGAAGACTTCGCTTCGACAGCTGTTAAGCGGTATTTACAGATTCGTTTCTCTTATCAAACTTTAATATACAAAATTGACATAGAGATTATAGAAACTGATCACATGATAGTCACCGTTTTATTGCGTGTGTTACTATGAATGTTGTTATAGATCATGAAAATCTATAAATTCACTTTGATTTTGTTGCTTAAAATTTTGTATGAAGAACACCAATCAAAGATAATACATAATATATCGGCAGTATCATTACATATTAATTCTTTTATGTATCTTTGACATTATACCTTCAATACATATTTTTGCGCATATTATTTCGATATATCGATCGCTATCTTATCTAAAATTTTATTTATATAAGTAATATAAAAAAACAATATTTAATTTTAAAGATATTTTTATAATTTTGAATTTTCCAATTCCAGAATTGTAAAGTTGATCAAACCGAATTGTCTAAAATTTTAATTTTAATCAATATTGTAATAAATAAATTCATGGATTATTATTATAGCTAATTTAATTAAATGATTAATATTAATATTTTAATTTTGAAAATAGAAGTAATAGAAGTATTGATGCATAAATATTTTTCCTATCAATATAAATGAACACCAAATGTTTATTATTGAATATTGACAATTTGCTTTCTTCTAATTTAATTTCAGTATTTAAGAATTTTTTTTATTTATTATTCCTTCCTTAATATATCCTCGGAAATGTTATACAATCTCTTTATTTGTTATTTTTATTTCATGTTATACATCATTGCTTGCATTGTAACATAATGATTCGTGAAGGGTTAAAATGCAAAATTACAGTAATATATCAAGCAATCATTTTAACTGGTGTCAATAAAGCTAATCATCAGAGTTGTTGGACGAATCAGCGAGTTAAATTGTCTTCCTGCATAATACAAATATCCAACGATTTTTGTCGGCAAAATCCAAAAATATAGAAACAAATAATTTACATAGATAAGATGTATACATTTATATAAAGAAATAAAGATGTATATTGAAGAATAAGAATATAATATTGTTGTATAGGCGTTGCAATAACGTGGAAAAGATGCCTAACTAGTTCAGTGAAGGAACCAGAAGGACCGGTGATTTTGACGAAAATACCGGGTCCACGATCGCAGAGCCTGTTACAAGAATTGAATGCGATACAAGTACATACGTCAGATACTGTTGAGCTAACATATATTTATATAATTATATAATTATATAATATATAATGATATAATTTATAAATATACTTCTAAAACTACTCTTCTTTCATTCAATAGCAATTTATATATGTATATTATTAGTGCTATCAATATATAGAATTAAAGAGCTTATATGTATATGTGCATTTATAATAATGCATAATCTTTTATAAATATGTGCAGCAGAAAAGAAATAAGTTATAGTGTTGAAATCTGTGACTTTAGCAAGCGACTTCCGTACAATTCTTCGCAGACTACGAAAAATCCTTTGGTAATTACATAATAGATGTCGATGGAAACGCGATGCTGGATGTTTATATGCAAATCTCGACAATGCCCTTAGGATACAATCATCCGGCAATGTTGGAGGCTCTTGCCGATCCCGTTAATCAAGTAAGTAACATAAAACCGCAAAACATTAGATTTTTTCACATACATGTACAACAAGTTAATTTCTTCTACAGAATATGGTCCATGTAAATCATAAATCAATATCTTCTCCTACTATATTTGATAAGTTTTCGCTAGTCAAATTTCATTCTCAGAACATCTTACAAACTATTTCGTATCCAAATTGTATAAAACATTTAATTGTATAAAAACGTTTGTGTTTCTTTTCAGAAAATTATAGCAAATAGACCTGCATTAGGATCCTTTCCGGGAAAAGATTGGCCAAACAGATTAAAAAATATTTTACTTAAAAAAGAGGTATTTTTTGTTAAAAGTTTTAATTATAATTTATTTTCCATATATTTAATTTAATTGCTCTATTTAGATCGAAATTATTACTATCGACAGGTAGCTCCACCCGGATTGTCACACATTACAACAATGATGTGCGGTTCTTGTTCTAATGAAAATGCTTTTAAAAATATCTTTATTTGGTACGCTGAGAAACAAAGACAAGGAAAACCATTCACGAAGGAAGAGATGGAAACGTGCATGATGAATCAAATGCCTGGTTCGCCGCGATATTCCATCATGTCCTTTAAAGGTGTAGTATATCAATCAATCGTGTGAGAGCAAATTTTATTGTAATTATTAATTATGAACTAATATTGATAGGTAGTTTTCATGGAAGAACCTTAGCTTGTCTGTCAACGACTCACAGCAAATACATTCACAAAATAGATGTGCCAGCTCTCGACTGGCCTATCGCCTCCTTTCCAGAATACAAATATCCTTTGGATGAGAACATGCGAGAAAATCAGAGGGAAGATAAACGTTGCCTCGCAGAGGTATCGTTAATCCTTAAATACTTTTGTAGTGTATCACATGCAAGAGAAAATTTTTAAAGCTTTACAAATATTTTAGGTTGAAGAATTATTTGAAAAATATAATAATGAAAAGAAGGTTCCAGTGGCTGGCGTCATAATCGAACCGATTCAATCGGAAGGCGGCGACAATCATGCATCGCCGGAATTCTTTCAGGAACTTCAACGCATAACGCGAAAAGTAAAGTATAGAGGCAATATTATATTTTAGCTTGTGCATTAAGAAGGATGTTATCACCTTGTATTAAAATATTTCAGCACGGAGCAGCATTGCTTATGGACGAAGTCCAGACAGGTGCCGGGCCAACGGGAAAAATGTGGTGTCACGAGTACTTCAATTTAGATACTCCACCAGACGTGATGACTTTCAGCAAGAAAATGCAATTAGGCGGTTATTACCACTCGGACGACTTGAAGTAAATTTTTTGATATATCAAAAATAGTATTAAAAACTATTAATGATTAATTGCGTAATCCATATGGTAGGCCGAAATTACCATATCGCGTATATAATACTTGGATGGGCGATCCGAGTAAAGTGATACTGCTCGAAGCGATCGTGGAAATCATCAAGAAGGAGAATCTTTTGGATAGAGTTACGCGCGTTGGTGACTATATTCTAAAGCATTTAACAAATATACAAAAGGACCATTCCAGTGTCATCAGTGCAGTGCGTGGTCGTGGAACTTTCATAGCGTTTAATTGCGCCTCTCCTGAAATGCGAGACACCATCATCAAGAAACTTGCAACCAAAGGTAAGATTGTAACGTAAAATATGTAATTATAAAAAATATCTTTTATATTTTCATATTTTTCGTATTCTTAGGTATCATGGCAGGTGGATGTGGTAGCCAATCCATACGATTGAGGCCTGCATTAACTTTTACAGAGCGTCATGCTGATATATTTTTGGATGCGCTTCGATCTGTACTAAAATAATAAGGGTAAATGTAATGATTTATCGTATCTTTTAAGTCAGACATCTTCCATTACAGTCGCACAGGTGTATTGCGATGTATGGAGAATAAAAAATATTCATTATTTTTATATGATTGAATTATAAGAATAACAAAACTTTATAAAAGTGACGAATTAATAATACCATAATATGATAAATAAATCTTAAATGAATTAATTCTTTTGTGTAAGTATATGTATGTATGTATGTGTATATATATATATACATACACACACACACACACATAAAATGTTTCAAAAAATTGTGCAATAATTAAACGAGAATATATTCTTTGACAATTTTAAATTCATTGAGAATTATTTTTATTGTGTAAAGATATAAATTACGTCAATTATTTAAATATTTCGTTTACAATATTTGTTACTTAGAAAAGATGATATAAAATAATGCTAAATTATCAATGATTATAGCTTATATATTCCCTTTCGTTCTTCTTTTGTTATTTTTTGATTCATTGACGACTTGATGGCCGGAAGGTTTATTGCACAATAACAAAATGCTTTCAAAAAGAATTACCAATAAAAAGTGTTTAAAGTATCTTCTATTGTCGATAATTCGACATTTTCGTGAGTATATCAGCAAAATGTCCATATTCTCGATGATGACTCTTTTGTGTCATGTAAGCTTTTGTTCTCATCTAAGAAAAAAATTTACGAAATAATTGAAGAGTACAATAGCAAAACTATTGCATAAAATATTAAAATTCTGATTATTGTAAATATATATTTACTGTCATTTTGGGATCCACTGAACCATGCCGTTGTGATAAGTTCCATAAATTTACAGCCATGTTTGCTAATGCGGGATCTCGTAAATCTGCACGGATAACAAAGCAATTAAACAGCTCGAGTGCTAGAGCTGACTGTTTGTCGAATTGCTCGGTAGACCCAAGATACTTGAGATGGCTTAAGATTTCCTCAACAATCTTGGAACATATTTTATTTACCTCACCAATAAATTTCTGATCAGATCCATATAATTTATCATTTGAATCAACCTAAAATGCCATTATCACATAATATATCTTAGTTTATAATTAATTTTTCTCTAATTTTGTAGAAATAAATGTTGCAATTATTTATTATTTATTTCCTCAAATGCACAAAAATATAAAATTACCTTGTCGATATGATAAGGATAATTTTCCTGCGCTACCGTTGAAAGAAGATCGAGTACACGTAAATACAAATATGGCTTGATTGAGGTATTTTCTTCGAAACAACGTTGAACCGCATTAAGTAAACCTCTCATCAAATACAAGACTCCATGCTCTGGGCTATCCTAATATGGCGAAGTAATTTATTAATTATAAAATTAATATATGATGCATGTTGACGTACGTACCGGGACTACTAACAATGTTGACAAGAAATTCGACAAATATGAGAGTAAATATGGTTGTGAACTTTTCTGTCTTCCATCAATGTCGATGGTCTTCGGCATTTCAGGAACTAAACTTAAGGCGGCCTTGAAGCAAGCATCGGCTGAAAAATATCCATTTATGTACGTAAAATACAAAAGATCAAGCAATATATTAAATATTAGAAAGATTAATTTGGTTCATACCTTGACCTAGACATTGATTCAAGAGAGCGACTTGTCCGGACAAAAGATATAATTGAAGACGCGTGTGAACCAAAGTTAAGGATGGTATAGTGATGAAACAGAATGCAGCACAGGCGCGTACAAACGCTGACGTTCTTCTCGTGTGATGACCGCGCACTATTTTCCTAGTATCGACTGATAATCTATTTACACACTGAATACAAATACAGAAAATTGCTGTACCAATATGTAAAATTGTAAAATAGAAAGGACAATTTAGTAATATATATGTATATACCTGTACAAGCTGTATATGAATACTATCAAGATTAGGAAACGCCGCCCTGGCCTCTGCATAAAAATTAAGCTGCTTTTCAAAATCACGACCATAATCTACTCGTTGCACCAAGCCACATATTAATTGACCGATTTGTCGTTTCTCATCTTCGACAGTCAAAGCGCTGCATATAATGGAGATATTTATCAAGTTTTAGAAATTGAACAAAATTTATAAAAATAAATTGACATACCTAACAGAGTCGTGCATAATCCTTGCGATAAACATGAGAGCGTTTATAATAATAGGATCTGTAATGGGTCCATTCTGCGCACTCAATCCTTCTATAACAGTTTTACAAACCTCAACCTTAATACTTTCCTTGTGAAACAAGTCAATTAAAGGCAAAAAATTATCCTAGAACATAAGTATGGAATCGATGCTTAATTTAATATGACTTTAAGATGATTATCTGAATAAATATGAATATGATTAGCGCGCGGTACCATAGCAAGCAGTGACTCAAAATCTTGCGTGTGAGCGACTATCTTCTCAACAATATTCTGCAATTGCGGATAATAGTTTTCGAAGGCCTTGTTGGGTCGTAAATGATCTATTATTTTACCGAAAAATAAATTGAGTTCATTTACCTGTAATACATGTATATTATATAGAAATCTAATTTAATATAATAAAGAGCATTATTATATAAACTTACAGAAAAATGTATAACAGTAAACTGAATCCAGATTTCGATGCAATGCATAAATTTGTTAGGATCTGTGAGCTCTGTTATGTATTTCCATATTATATTAAGCACCGATTGACAGTCTTCTTTCGGCGGAGATTCTCGTACAAGACACTCTCCTAAACTTTTATACAGGAGATATTGAGGATATCCTGCCGAAATGTTGAAAGAAAACGTTAACGCACTTTAAATCAAATATATGTATATTTATCATTTAATCTTTTAATCTCAATACCGTCATCTTCGCTCGCTACTATTAAATTTACAAAGTCCATGGCGCGTGCGGCAATGTACGTTGGTTTAAATGCAGTCAATACTGTGTTCAATAATAATGATCTGAAAAAAATATACATATATATATGTATAAAGGCAATTGAAAACGAGATTAAACATGAATTAAAGATATTTAAAATATTATATATTTACCCATTTTCTTGTTTTTTACAACGAGACAAAATTTCCTCGAGAAGACTTTCGGACGATGTTACTACCAAAACCTGTACAATCCAATCCAACGCCGGTAAATAGAGATTCAAATAGGAATGTAGAGTGAGATTCTGTTTCGCTAATTCATTCTTGACAGCAAGCCCAAATAACTGATGATAAGTAAAAAGAAAATCGTTGAAATTTTCTCGTACAAACTCAAAATCTGATGTTTTGTTCAATGCTAGTCCCACGCGACATAAATAGCATCTCGCATAAACGGCTATCAACGGATTCCCGATTCCTCTTATCATATGAGTTATACGTAATAGAGCAGTATTAAATTCGCTAAAATGAAATACATCTAAGCTTAATAATTTTAATTCTTCCATGATATTATGAATGAGAATTTTACCTTGTCGTCAGAAAACTGTAAGATTTTATTATCGCCATCTCTACATACAAACGCGGCACCAATTCTCGTATAGAAGCTATCTTATAAAACCAATTGCGACACGTTTCCTTTGCATTCTCAGGAACCATATCAGGTGTAAAGTTGTCAGGTAAGCTCGTAGGTACTTTGCTTCCTGGTCTGAGAAAAATAAATTTTGTCATTATTAATAAAATCTAATCCCATGACATAATCTGTGCAATGAAATAAAGAGATATAAAATATACACAAAATGCAGCTCTAAAATATAAGAATTTTTTGTATGATAATTACTTGTAGTATTCAGCCTTCATTTTCAATCTTTCATATACAAGCTTCCCAAAAATATCCAATATATCTGTGATGAGAACAAATTTGCTTGGATAGAAAGCCATTACAGATGTGTCTACTAATAATTTGGCACACTGAAAAATAATTTGGCGTTAATTCCGATATTTCCCCATAAAACTTTAATTTAAATTTTATGTTGCAGGAAATTAGTAAGTGGATAAGAACCTGTATTGCGATTTTGAGCGCCTTTACTCTTTGATCGGAATGCCATGCTTGTACTAGTTCATTATTCAATTGCTCGATTCGCGCAGTATATTGCTGTTGTGATAAATCCAACATTTGTCTTACAGAGCCTTCCTCAAAATCATCCAATTGCTCGAGCCGCGTTTTTACTTTGTCGACCATTGATCCACTTGGCTGAACTTTCACTACAACTGTGGTAAAACTATTATATATTTAAATTCAATTAAAATGCATATTTAAATTCCTATATTAAAAAATTAAGTAAATAATATAGACTTTTTTTTGTAAATTTTACAACTTTCTTCAAAAAATAAACACCTTTTTCTCCACCTGGTAAGAAGCTAGTAACGATTGATAGTTTTTCAGAAGTTGTATATTTACTCAATATAGCAGAACGTCTAACAGACCATGGTTCGACCAATTCTTCTGCTGTATCCTTCAATTTTTTACCAACTAGTGCAACATTAGAATAATCCCACTGTAACATAAATAATAAGCATTATAAAGAATTATCAAATATTTAGAGATCAAGGGATTATATATTACTTCATCTGCAGCCATTTTGGACAGAGGATCAAGTTCCTCTCGTGCAAACTGTGTAAGAGGATCAGAGCCATCCAGAGAAGGATGGCTTAGCAGTGGATCGCTCAATGGATTCATAGGAACTGGTGTATGCGTTGGTGTTGGTATTCCAGTAGAGGAACTAGTACTTGTACTTCGTAATGCATTGCGTCTAGTTGAATTACGTCCATCAATTAACTATATAAAAGAAAAACACAAAAATTTTTTCCATAAAAATTAGACTTAAATAAATAATATAATTTAGTGTACAATATTAAATTAGAAGATACATTTATGCAAGATATACTCTAATATCAGAATTATATCTTACAGTGATCACAACTGGTTTCAACGGATGTTCTATAGCTTCCTCTAAACATGCAAACTTTACAGTTCCATACTCCATAGGTTTTGAGATCCTATAATAAAGATTTTTATATAATATGGAAAGCCATTACAGCATACTTATGCTCATGTTTTGTGAGACCAAAGAGATTTATTTCTCCAAAACGACAAAGTGTAACAACAGCAATTTAACATAATTAATTTATTTTAATACAAATAATATTCTTACCATTCTATCTCTGTCATATTTTACATGTATCAAAATATTTTTTCCAATAATATATAAGTGATAGTATACGATCTCTTTATCCTATTATGACAACGTATTGCGGTTCATTATGCGATTCCCGAATTTGACATTTACAGAGTCAACAAATGTCAGATGGCTCTTGACACTGTTTTCATGCAAAGAACTTGTAAATATTTTTTCATCCTAGGATGTGCGCGTTCGAAAATTCTACTCCTAAAGTGGAATATCTTTTAATTGACCAATCAGGACAAAGAGATCTTTGCTCCTTTTGTTATGATTGGTCAATTAAACGCTACGCTACTTATGGATAGGATTTTCAAATGTAATCCTACTATTTCGCAAGTTTTCATTCATATAATTATCTTTTTAATGACCAAACATAAAAACTCATTTTCTCAAGATTGAAATATACATCTCTTGCGTTTCTCGAATCTTTAAACTGCAACTGATGGCGATTTCGCGTAATTGATGAATTTTGATATGCAGTACAGCTTGATCTCGGAAAATGAAGCGAAAAGCGATTCTAAGAAACCGCCAATTCGGTCTTAAATGTTTCTGCGGCAGCACTGACATCGTCCTCAATTTTAACACTGACGTTCCATTCTCTCCAGTTGTCATTACACGCTGTTGATCGCGCACGATTCGCGAAATTCGAAGATTTCCGCGAGGAAATTCGCGACGTTATCAGTCATGGACGATGTCCTCGAGAGCTGGGAGCAGATAGAGGAATCCAATGTAAGATACGTCTGTAGTTTTGTTCCGCAAATTAACATAGAACGATATAATCCCGTGTTAACCTATATCCATGCACGCGCGAACTCTTTCGTGTGCAAAGTTTTTGGAACGCGACGAGAGAATTGTCGAGACCGATTGTTTTGTGTTCTTTTCGCGCTAACGCGTGTCTGTAGCTTCACCGTTGATTTGTATTTTTTCCTTTTTGTCAAAGAACTAATTGTAGTTGATGGTAGTAATAATAGTAAAATAGTTCATGTTACCATAAGGATACATTTTCTTGTTTGAAATGTGTCAAGTTGCAAGCATTTTTTTTCCCTTAGTAAACTAATACATTCTCACTTGAATTTATCACTCGATCATTTATGAAAATCATTTATTATCATGTTATACAAAAAAAGGAAATCATCATGATGGATTTTAGGCGCTCGATAAAAGACTGGAGGCCCTTCAGTTGGACACAGTGGATGAAGAAATAGAATCTTCTAGGTAGGCTTAGACAAATATTTGTTGTTCTTTCTTGCTTACACTTGTTCAAGTACATACATGTGTATACATTTATATATATAATGTATAAAATAACTTTTTGAATCCAGATCTAGTCATGACACAAACACAAGAATGATCATTTTGGGAGAAGATGGTCTCAGGTCTCAGTATGTACCTCCAAAGCCTACAGTAAAAATATTAAAGAGACCAACTAGAGATTCACGGGGAGGTGGCGATGGACCATTAAATGACGATAAACCTAAGCAACCTATCAAATCTCTAAAACAGGTAGGTAACATTGTCTCATTCAAGTTATCGCTTATCCTATTGAACACACAAGAATATAATAAAAATTATTTCAGAGAGAGCAGGAATATGCGGAAGCGCGAAAAAGGATTTTGGGAGAGGAAAAGAGTCCGGAGGAAAAAATGATGCAGGAGGTCAACAAAATTCAGTCAAAGTCGAGCATGCCAAATGATGGCAACTATCCTAGCAATGTAGTTCGCATGCCTGCTGGCCCGGACGGTACTCGGGGTTTTAACGTACGCAGGTAGCGCGTCTTCCAATCGACTTTTTCTACCCACCTTTTTCCTATTCTTCTTTCTCATTACCATGAGGAAGGAGAACGGCTATGAGGCCGAGCGGAACAGCTGCGCACTCCGAGCAGAAGAAACGGAAGATCTTCAGGGCTCTGTCCCGCAGATTATCATTATACGTGGACATAGGAATCGAGAGAGAATGGACTTATCAAAGCAAAGATAAATATATAAGAACGAAAAACAATTATATGTATGTATGTGTATGTGTATGTATGTATGCATGTATATACACATGTATACATGTATGTATATACACATATATAAATCAGAGTTACATTGTGAGTAATGCAATGGGACGGAGACATGGATTCGTCACATGCAAATGAAAATGTTTATTTCATTTTATAAACGTGTAAAGTATTCAAAGTACCTAATGAATCGTGTAATAGGTACTCTTGAATTGTGTAATAAAAAAAACACCCTATGTGTATATACACACACACACACACATTACATGTGACAATTCTGTATGCAATATATTGAGCGTTTTGTTATTAAATCAAAGATACTTTTAAACGAATTTTTTATTTAACTCTTGACTCAGATAATATATAAATGTAAAAAAAGCTACAATTTTTATAATTTTGTACTGTGTAATATTCTATGTTATTCTTGTAGAGTATGCACTCTGAATCATGCTTGGAATAGTATAAATTAGAAGGGGATTAATAAAAGCGAGATGATGATTCATCATAGTTATTTAAACAGATAACTGCATGAAATGTGTATATATGACATTGTCGATAATGTATATATATATATATCAGTTTTAGAGCCAATCCTAAAGTTGATTTACACCGAATCCACATAAGAATAAAAAATATCTATTTAAAAATATACAGAAATAGAACTTTTGAAGGAAATAAAAATGAAAAAGTAGGATGAAATCCTGAATCGAGATGTATTTTTAGAATAGAACCCAACGATATAAAAAAAGATATTAAATCTGTTCACGCGTCGCTTACGTTGGTAATCATTCCGTGATACGATAACGATATATATACATATCACATGCATGTGTGTGTGTGTATATTCTGACATCGCGGCGCATGTCAAATCGCGCGTGTCCGCCTGTCGGCGTTCCATCGGCTCGTCTGTATCGTGAAAGGTATTTTTTTGCAGTTCTGAAATGTGAGATCGGCGAATTGTCCGTGTAAAGTGATATCTAGGACTTGGAAGTGTCGTGGCGTTATTTTCGATCGGAGACAAAATAAGGATGGCGGAATCGAACGGGCCGATCCTTCACGTCATCGTCGTCGGGTTTCATCACAAAAAAGGCTGCCAGGTAATAATCTGTCGATTAATCTATCTCCCAGTCTTATCCGTGCGTTTCAATCGCATATCGCGCTAACATAACATCACTTTTCAGGTAGAATACTCATTTCCACCTTTAGTGCCTGGCGCACCTAACGAGTGTCCCTTAGGATGGAAATACCTGCCTACGCTTGCCCTACCCGACGGTTCCCACAATTATGACGAGGATACAGTATATTTTCATTTACCTAGTCTCAATGATCCAAAATGCACGATATATGGGATTTCGTGTTTTCGACAAATACCAGTAGAGGTATATAAAATGTATCTTGTATTTTAAATTAACTCACTTTTAATTTTAATTGATTATCAAATTGAAGCGTTTCTTTTTTATTATTATATTTACAGAAATTAAAAAATCGCACTTCTGATATAACAAGGGGCACTGTTCAAAAATCAGTGTGCGTACTGAGTACTTTACCTTTGTACGGGCACATTCAAGTGAAAATGGCTCTAATAACGCATGCATATTTTGATGAGGGAGATTTTAGTAAAGTGTCTTTATTGGAGGATACTTATCATCATCTTAATTCATGCATGAGTGGCGACAGTCAGATTCCGCCGCAAATTTTTGTTGGTAATTAGTTGTCAAACATTTTTTACCAATGGGATCATACAACTTGTATACTATACATAATATATAATATTGAAATTCTTTATAGGTTTATCCGCGAGAGATTTTATATTACAATTTCGTCATAAAGTATTACTTTTATTTAAATTACTCTTACTTGAAAAAAGGATAGTGTTTTATCAGTCACCTGTACAACCATTGTGTGCTACAATATTGACTTTATTGTCGCTATATCCTGGCATGATTGAGCACGGTCTTCAACAAGCGGCGTGTGTCAGGTATTACACAGAAACAAAAGTAAAAAAAATCTTCTCTCGAGATTGATCAATGAATAATCTTTTCAATTTCTCCAGACCATCTAGGCCAATGTCTCCGATACCGACGTTTGATGAAGAGGAATTCTCGACAAATAACGTTGATTCTAATTTATCGTCCACCTGTATCGTCAAAGACAATATATCCAAGTCAAATCATGAGCAATGCAATGATAATAGCAATAGGAACTCTTTATGCATTAACGATAACAAGATTATCGAGTCTATGGAAGACAAGTGCTTGGATGGACTGCAGCACATAACTCTGCAGAAAAATAACAATGATAATGAAAATATAAGTATGAAGGTCATCGAAATCGAATCGGCGCAAGAATGCACGGAATCTTATCTAGAGGAGAGCAACTCTAAATACTCGCCACAGACGAACGAAAACGTACACAGAGTGCACAGTGTAAATGCAATCACGCTGAATGATACGGATAATAGTTTACCTCGCGATACAAGTAACGATGCGCTTTCTGATGCGAGATTAACAAACAACATTACTCAAATCGCGCACATTAATCCTGAGTTATGCGGCCTACCTTTGGAGCTATTTACAAAAGTATGATTTTGCAATTATTACATCTATCACATATACCGTTAGAACGAGTGTTTTGCATATACATGAAAATTTTATATATTTGTTCTAGGGATATCTCTGCTTACCCTATCTATCTTTACCTTATTTGGATCTATTGGGAGATGTGAATGTTAGAGGATACATAGTGGGTGCTACAAATGTATTGTTTAAACAAAAGAAGCAACTTATTGATGTGCTAGTTGAAGTAAGCATAAAAGTGATATTGAATTTAATCAAAATTAAATATAAACGATTTGACTTGTAATTTTTTGTGTTATTTAAAGATTGAAAATACACGAATAGAGGCAACGGATCCCGAATTGAGACGACAGCTGCATCTTACTACCGAGGATTTGAGATTTGCCGATTATGTTGTGAGGCACGTAGCTGAACCTCGGAAGGACATCTTTCTAGATGGGGTAGGATGGGAAGGCGGCGACGAGTGGATTAGAACGCAATTTCGAGTATACCTGTTGAGCATGCTGCGTACCTCTATGCAGCAAGACACTCGTCAGTCGGATCATTACAACTCAGCGTTTGTATCCGCGTGGCGCGCCACAAACAATTATAAGGCGTGGTGCAACGCGAGTAAATCGGAGATACTCAATATCGAACCTGGACATCCCTTTGCTGGTCAGTTATCAGTACAAGATATGAAACTACGTTTGTCACAGTAAGTAATAAAATCCTCCTGTAAAATACGAGAATTTTTAATATGCAATTTTTTGTGCACTAGTTATTTGACCAAATGTCGTTGGACATGGAAAATAAAATCTATTCAAAATGTGCTGTTTCAGTACGATGCAAAACACAGAAAGCGGTAGAAAATTAAATCAAGCAATGGCATCGACTGGACGCGCAGTGGCGACCACTGGGAAAGCTGTAGGTAAGAAGTTGCACAATTTATTAATTTAAATACAAATTGAATAAAAATATAATAATATATAGATATCATTTAAATATATATATATATAATTTTTATATTTGAATATTTATCTCATACATTGAAAATTATATATTAACATCTGTTTAAAAAAAAGATGATATAAATAATCAAAAGTAAATTTTTTTTCTACATATTTCTTGTTTAAATTTGTTTAATTATTGCACTATAAAATCTTTTAATCGTGAATATGTCAGAGCACCCATCTAAATTAATTTTGCATCTAATGCGGTCGAAATCGTGCACAATATTATCTTTGGAACTAACAATTTATAAAGGGGGAGCGATATCGCAAGCGAAAGGGGCATTCTCGAACTGGTGGAGTACATTAACGACAGTTCAACCGGTTGATGAAGCAAAGATTGACAATCAAACGACAAACAACCATCATACGGTGTCCAACGCTACGGACAAAGAATCTATCGAAGATGAGGAGATGAATGTCTCTATTACGAATAACGCGGATATTGCGGTAGATCTTGATTAATATAAAAGTATATATATATATCAAAATGAGACGTGAACGATTGAAATTAAAAATGTGAAGGGCACTCGTGAAAAACAAATTAATTTAATGCATAACGTAAAGATACGTAAAACTGAAACGAGGAGTTTCTTACAAGACACACATAGGATATGCTTGTTAAATGATGGAATTTTTTAAAGGATCTCAGTTTTAGCGACAAGTAAGAAAGGCTAAAACCGCGAATGTACAACAGACTTTATTAATGTGATATGCAACTTTATGGAGCGAGGTTTTTTAGATTTGTAAGCTGCTGTATGGGCAAGTACTAAAACAAATTACAAGCTAAAATATCTTGCTCGAATATAAGCTTTTGTAATTTTCCTCGAATACTCTGTATATAATTTTCATATGATTCATATGTGTCTATAAAGATATGTGATATAATTTTATTATATAAATGATACAAATCATTACGATACTTTTCAACATTGCATATTATAATTAAGCAATGTTATATGTATAAATTTCTTAATTAATTTTAATTTTTCATTAAGTAACGAAGAAAGCGTTTTTTTTTTCACAAAATGAATCGTAAATCTTGCCTGCTCTTTACAAGAGCAACCATGTATTTATATGTATACGGAAATATTGTTTCGCGTTTATACATATAGAAATATTCTCGCTTAAGAAGTACCTGTATTTCTTGTACATAAAGAATAGCATTATACGTACATCTCGATTATTGTAGTAATTTTTTTGCGCGCTTTGCATATTATTTCAGTGGGATTATTTAATTTACTTGCTCAGAGAGATATATATAAGAGGAGTATAATATATTCCTGTAAGAATAGATGCGGGAATGCGGGAGAAGAGTGGCATATATTAATACATATGCCAAATCACAGATTGTCAATCGTAACAAATCGTTTACAGGGTTTCAGTATTTTGTATTGTCGCGAATAGCGTGGATTATATATACGTAGAAGATGTGGAAAGTTCGAAACTAGGACACAGTTGGTATCCAACATAAACGTAAATATTGTACATTGTTCCATAATTCATTTCACTAGGATTAATCCTGTTATTGACAATATTGCTACCTCCATTTATTGTCGAGATTACACCGTATATATTAGTTCCGTGTATGACATGACGATATCTACGCGATTCGCTAGATCCAGTAATAGATCTAAACCGAGATGAATAGTTGTTAAACTGATTCTCTGTATCCTTGTATTCGTCGGAATAAATTGTTAGCTTGCGAAGATCGTGGATGATCATTCGTGGAACGAAGAGAGCTGCCGTTTTAGTAGTCGTAGCGGAATTACGTTTCAATTAAGCTTAAAGCACATATAGAGCACGTATAGAGCATTTATAACTACTAGTATAGTCAGTTATGATAACATATGTATTATGATAATAAATTCTCTTTTTCGTTGTAATATATTCGTAAAGATATAAAAATTCGTTGTAATATATTCGTAAAGATATAAAAAAACAAACATCTTTTGTAATAATTCATATAATAATATTTATTAATTTACGATGTGCTTCTTTTTGGAGCATGATATTTAACTCTATTTTTACATAATTTTTGTGTTGAATTTCAAACGATCACATTTGGCGCTAAATAAAGACTTTTATTGGAAATGTTATAAATAAATAAATTATATAATTATAAAATTAGAAAATATATATATGTTTTTAATTCCGTAAATATATAATTTTACAAATTTAATATATATTAATTATGTAATCACAACGGAATAATATAAAATTTTGATCTATATTATATAAATTTTTTTCAGTCATTATTTGATAAAAAGCGGTACGTTTCAACTACGTGAGCTGTTTATTTCGAAAACGATTAAATATTTAATCACAAAATGACTACTCTCTATATATGTATATTCAAATAATTAAAACATAACTAAAAAATATTTTTTTTTTTTTTCTTTTTCAGAATAAACAGTTCATGCTGTAATCTAGTTTAAGTTATTTTTAAATACATCTTTGTGATATATCCTCTCTCAGTTCATTATAATTTACAATTCAAATGTGTTATATCAATTTTTCCTCATTTCACACATGTGTCATAGGGCATTTTTATTTATATAAACACTGTGCCAAATGTGGTATATGTGTATTTTTAGATAAAATATCAATGTATGAGCAAAATATATTTTGCAATTTAAACATTGCGAAAATTTAGGCGAAATAACGACCAAGCTACTAGTCAACAGAATGTGCATTAAAAACGTTTAATAATTTCATATGAGTTTTTCAGATTGCTTTTCTTTTGTGAAATTGAATTTCTTTTCTTTGGATAAAATATACACACATGCATTCAGTTTGATAATAAATTCTGCTCCATCGCATTCATTAATTTTGTGTCTGTAGAAAAAATGTATAAAAACACATTTGAAAAATGTACATAAATATTTTTATTTAAGATTATATTTATAATGCGCACATTATATACATGTATATTTTATCGATTATAAAATATTCCTTTTCAATTATCCGTTGCAAGAGACTGCTAATTTTATTCTTAATAATTTTTGTAGCTCTCGAGGTTTTTTGCCGTACGATGAAAAAACAAGTGCAAAATGTTTTATATACAAGTAAAATGCTGTAAAATGTAAAATGCTGTTGTAACTCTGGAACAAAAAAAAAGTGCGAGAGAAAAAAATGAAACGATCTGCTTTTATCCAGCTTTTTAGATGTCATATTATCGCAAGAGAAAGTTATTTAAGGCCAATTCCCTGTTGGATAATTGAATATGTTTTATATTTATAACACACACACGAGAGATTTTGTACAGCTTATAAAGATGTAAAGAGACAAGTGTCGCGATGAGAAGCGTCTTATACTCGTCGTATACTACATTGTATTGTATAATCGTAATACCGTCACATTTGTCAAAATATTAAAAAGAAACAATATACGCAATTGTGAATGTGTCACGTATAATTCTTTATAGATGGACATGGATTATCGTGAGTCGTGCGTGCGTTTATCGAGCTCTCTCGCATCCAAACACGCCGTGTGAATTTCCAATATCAATGATTTAATCGATAACGTTATAAATTGTCGCGCGCGACGATAAAGTGACGTCACGTTAACCTCGGCGACTGTGAACGCACCCTTAAAATCTCGCCGCTCGGCGAGGCGCGAGAGAGAGAGGAAGAGGAGGCGATGCGGCGGGGGGGGGAGGGGAGCGGAACGGAACGGGGTAGCGGACGGTACGGGACGGTACGGTACGGCGGCTAGTAGGGAAACGAAAGCGAGAACCGGGGATGATCTCGCCGCGAGCCATGACTGGTCGGCCGATGCGCCGCCGAATAAACATCGTAGCTCACCGATAATAGCCGAAGCGCCGTAAGGTGCCGCTCGGTTTGCGGGAGCGAGACGGAGGAGGCCGTGCGGAACGCCATGGTGTGTGACTGCGACTGCCTACGTCACTCTTGTCGCCCGAAGCTGTCGTTGAATTTCGCGTCGCGAGTGCAGCGGAAAAACATTGTATCCCGTGAGTACGGCCGGGCGTTGTTTCTCTTTCGCGCCGATTCGCGATTCGATCGCGATCCGAGGTGAGCGGGACGGGACGGGACGGGAGAAAAAAAGAGAGAGAGAGAAAAAGATATATACATATTTATATAAAGCGAGAGAGACGCCTTTTTTAAAAGCCCGTGCATCTCTCGGCGTGCGCGTGTCCGCGGAACCGCCGCACCGCACCGCACCGCATCGTGTTCGGCGACGCGCCGCGCGGTGCAGTGTGTACACGTACGAGGCCGCGTGCGCGCGCGCTCGCGTGTGTGTCGCGAGTGCCCCTCTGTGTTGCTCCTTGTGTGTACTCGCCGAGAGGAGAGTGCGTTACGGTTCCTACGAGGTGAGCTTTTTAGTACGAGTACTGTCGGGCGAGAGTGTGGCCGACGCGCGCGTACCGGCATCTAGGGTCTCTCGCTCGTGTCATCGTTCTCGTGTTGTCGTGTCGTCATCGTCGTCGCCGTCGTCGTCGTCGTCGCCGTCGTTGCTGCCGCCGTTGAGATCGTGTCGTCCTCGCGTCTCGGTGTCGTCGCAGCTGACGAGCGTGTGCATCGTGAACGCGGGGCGAGCCGCGGTGGCCTGTCGCGAAAGAGTGCGCCATGCGAGAGAGGGCGAAATCGGTGACTGGCGGGCGGCGGCCATCTTCCAGATGAGTTTTTCTCCTTCTTTCTTCCCGATAAACGGAGTGCGCTATGCCGTGAGAGAGAAGACCAAAGGGACCGAGAGATCGTAAGAGACCGATCGCGATAGAGACGGAGAGGCGGCCAGTGAAACGGGGAAAAAGAGAAAGAGAAGGAGAGCGGGCGAGAGAGGAAGGAAATTTCATATACGTCTATCATGCAACGAGAGATGCGGTGAACGGCGCGTGCTGTTCGGCGGAGTCGCGAAATTTCACGAGCGCGTGTCGCCGCTTCAACCAGTTTTCGCTCGTGAGCGCGACAAGGAGGAAACGCTCGCTCGTGTGCGCGAGAGGAACGTATTAGGAAGTGCGCCCGCTCGCGCCTGCGAGAGAGAGAGAGAGAGAGGGAGAGAAAGATCGGCAGAGGGACGGCGAGGCGAACCAGAGCGGAAGACGGAGAAAGAGACATACCGCGTGCGGGGGAAGAAAACGGAAGCGGTGCGGAGGTGAAACGAACGCGGAGAGGCGATCCCCTGTTATCGCGTTTGTTCGTAATCGCGTCGTTTTTCCGCGAGCGTGAAAGAAGAAAGAGAGAGAGAGAGAGAAGAAGAAGAAGAAAGAAGGAAAAAGAAGAGAAAAGAAGCGAGTCGCGTCGAGCCATCGTCCGTTTCTACGATCTCGAGGAGTGCGTTGTCAGCGAATGAATCGATTACTCGTCGTGTGTAACCTCCAAGTCTCTGGCTGGACGTCGCGAGGAGACTGGGAGGCGGCCGGGAGGGCGGGGGGGAGGAACTAGGAGGAGGAGGAGGAGGAGAGCCTCGGTGATCCGAGCCATCGCCTTGTCGTCGTCGCCTTCGCGTTTGGCTCTCTCGCGCGTCTACCGAACCGAGTTTTTCGAGCGTGTCTCGAGCTACGCGTCGCGTGGATACCCGCGAGCCAATCGCGGCCGATAATTCGCGCTCGGCCGGCGAGTCGGCGGGGACCACCGAGTCGCAGGACGGTGTATATACGTACGTATGTATCGCCGATTCGAGGATCGGATCGATCGGCGAATTAAACGGCCGGTTATGCCAACTGTGCTCGCCGTCTCGATCAATTTGCTCTCTCTTTCGCTAAAGCGGCACCTACGCGGTCGGTATTGTTGCGCTGTAATTTTGTCGACACCGATACCACCAGGCCGCGATAAGGGCTAGAGGTGCGACGGACCGTAAGAAAATAACAGACGCGACATTTTGTCAAATCCGGAGGAACGCGCCTTCTTCCGCGATCGTCGGTCGCGTTGGCAAAATTCTCAAATATTCGACGCGGATATTGTCAATGATAGAACGGATAGAGAGCAAAAGCGTTTCGATTATTTCGACAAGCCGAGAAATGTCACTTTAAATTCTCGTCATTTATTTTAATTTTATTTTAATTTCATTTACTTTAAGCCGTCTCCTTCCATTTGAAGTTTCTCGTTACAATTTTAAATCAATCCGAATCAATGAAATAATCGCGTAGCGCCGTAATTCGGCCGTAAGTCCCGCGAAGCCGGCGCCTTTGGTTTATGTCGGAATATAACCTCTCGTCTCCGCGACTCTCCTTAGGATTCGCTCGGGTAATCGTCAGCTGCTCGCGACAAAGTGTGTCTTTTGCATTTCCTTTTGTACGAAGCAAAAACACGCGGAGCTCGCGCTTCGGAGAGACGGAAAATTGCCAAGAAAATTGCCGGTAAACAAAAAGCATCAACGTCGTATATATATATGATATATTTTTCAAGGTTCGAATTTTGCGCTCGGGACGGATTCCTGATTCATCGTGCCGCCATTATGCGCGTTGCCGTACCCTGGTATACTTACGCGTACCGTGGGGCATTAGTTTTCCCCGTCCTCGCGGCTTTCCTTCCGATATTACGCCGGACGCGAGGAAAAGGAGAAATTATAGCCGGAGAGAAATTGACGCGCGTGTTCGAATCTACGTGGACGAGGGATTCTCCGGGACGCGAAGCTGGCGCGTGCATCGATGCATGTTGATCATTACTGACCATTTTCTCTCCCGAGGTTTCATTGTGCCTCGTAATCGCGTATTCATGTATTCTCAGACGCTGCTGGCTACTCGAATCGCGTCCATTGTAATGAAATCTCGCGTAAACAAAGCTTACGTGAGACGAGATTAAATTCAAGATCGATTCGTTTCGACGGTCGATTCGCTCGTCCGCTTTCGACCGGTCTTTCTCTCCTTATTAAGTATGTAATATTTATCGCGTCGGGTGAAAAACATTTATTTTTTCACCAAACGAGACCGAAACGAATCCTAGGGAGGGGAGGGGGGGGGACGCGCCGATCGATAATCGCTCGATTAGGAGGTCGCTCGAACTCTATTAGCGATCGTACAAATTAATGAGACGGACATACGATTAAAGAAGTAGGTTAAACGCTCTCGGCGGTTCTGTAGACGCGCGTGATCGAATGATTACAGGGGAGATCCACGAGGCGCTCGCCGAGGAGGAGAACTCGAAGCCCCGGAAGTCGGGGAGTGCGAAAAATCCACGGATGCTAACCCGCGGTGCGGCCCACCCGGTACATCGCGATCGAGAGAGAGTGTGTAGTGTGAGATCAATAATGAGACAGGTGCTCTCATTGGTGTAAAGCGATGCGGCGGAGCTGAGAGTTTTGTCGGGCGGCACTCTAGGGCTCATGAAAAGTGTATCCGGTGTGCGTAAAGTCGCCGTCAAGGACCACCGCGTCGCGAGACATTCCAGCGAGTCGGATCAGTGTGATTATAATGTAGTGCCAACTTTGCAGATGGATAAACAGGGATGACTGATAATTGCTGGAACTCTGGTGGTGGTAAGTATCGCATCATTTTTTTCCACCCGCGCCAGTCATCGGTCGATCATCTCTCTTCGCCGCCGAAATTCAAAAAATCTCGAGGCGATATTCGCGGAATTCGCGGAAGTCTCGGGACACCCGGTATATGGATATTATTTTGGTCTCGCGATACACGTATAAGATTAAAGCAACGTGAGAATAAATCAGGTGACACACGTCAGTCAAGCGCTCTATTACATTTATGAGATATTAATGCTGAAACTTGGTGGCAAAAACTTATTTTGTACAGTTAAATTTTGTATACATTATATGTGCTACCAACTTTTTATCCCAACTTTTTATTCTTGTGCGTGAAAATGCGCGTAAATAGCCTTGATAATATTTCTCTTTCGTATAAATGCTAGGGAAGAAAACAATTTCGAAATATTTTATTGTTACGAAGGTCAAACGCGACGCACGTACACACGAGGCGTTTCTTATAAATAACTTACACGGACCGTGAAAAAAGATTATCTCCAAAGATTTCTCGTTTTCTCATTTTAATCAGCTTGTACGTACGTTTTGTCCGCGCTGAAGTACAGTTTAGTAGATCTCGTGGACACGGATTATACACCAATCTTCACTGAGATATAATGTCAAGAGTCTCAGTTGGCCCTCCTGTGTCGAACCACGCTTTGCATAATAAATGTGTAAGTTTGTTACAAGATTACGATCCGCGTGACAGACAAATTCGACGAGTTTGTCGCAAGTTTGTCATTTTATTCCTCGGCAAAAGGTCCTGCGGAAGAAACCTCCTGCGAAATAAGAGCCCCGAGTCCGTAAACCTCGCGGGAGCCTCTAACTCTCTTTCCGATAATATTACGTTAAACAATTGATAGGATTGATTAATGCTTTCGGTTTTATCGCGACGGGAAATAAGCATCGACGAGGCTGAAAAAGGTTCCCGAAACAAAGTACCTAGATTTTGTGTATTATTGTGCAACAAGCTTTATTTTCGCATTTCGCACATTGTGTAAAAGCTGCGCATGCTCGTTGAACGCGACGTTCCTCGACGTTTTTTTTTCTCCTTTGAAAGGTTGTCGCGACGGAAATGTACGTCCAAATAAACGTAGCGCATATTCTAATTAGTCATCTCTATATAAATACTGCTAGTCACGATAAAAGCGGCGATAAGGACGCTCCCTCCTGGCGGCGAGGAATATTCGGCGTCGCGTTCCAGCTTATTGTTAGTCGAGAGTCCGCGTGAGACGCGGCACGTTTCTCGCCAACGGGGTACGTCCGAGTATATTCGATGACACACTTTTTTTCAGAAGCTGCAGTCCAGATGCGGCGTAAGTCTCCGCGTCCGTAACGTCAGTTTTTCCCGATGTACCGAGCCCGCCCGCGAAATATCCCGAGCGGCCTGCGCATTGTTGCTCAGCGCGCCTCGCTTTCTCCGCGCCTTTTGTAGAACGAATGAAATTCCAGCTGTGCCCCGTCGCGACACTTGGTCCGCGACGTAACATCGGCGTCGCGCAAGAGTCGGAAAACGAAAAGAGCGGGAGAAGAGGGAGAGAAAACCGTGCCCGGGATGATGAATCGCGGCCCGATGTTTACATCTCGATCGAATCGCGCGATAGGAGCGTCGCTGTAAATTTTCTCGCGACGAGATTCCAGGCGCGTCTCCCTATCCGCGGTATCGCGTTGCAAAAGTGCATTGTTTTGAGAGTTGCGCAATTAAACTCGCGCCTCGACGAACCGCATCTATCTTCTTACGGCGAGTCCATTCGCCTCCTATCCCAGGCGCATTACGAATAAAATAGCCTTGCCCCCGTTTTACATGAAAATTGTGGCCGACGACGAGTTCAATGACTGCGCTACTGCGCTCGCGCTCGCGTTCACCCGCTCGGATTTATTAAGCGGCTCTCGTAGCGTAGCTTTTTGCGATCCGAGTCCCCGAGGTCTTTAAATTCGTCGTCTGTCGCGAGGGCGCGATCAATTTTCTCGTCTCGCTTTCTCAATTTTTGTCCAAATATTCGTCGCAAATAGATCCTCCCGCCCGCGAAACGAAAGGATCGATAAACATCGGTGTATAAAAGAACGTTGGTAACGCGCAACGGCCGGTCACGCGTCGTGAACGTGTATAATGTCTTTAACGGATTGCAGTGATTCTCGAAAGTAACGGCGGAGCAGTGCAACTCATTCGGTTGCGCGCGCGTTGATAACAGAACCGATGGACGAGCCTGGTAGAAACTAGACTGATGGAATCTCGTGTTTTTTTTTGCATCCCATGATGTATACTAGAATTTTATTATTTATCGCTAAAAATTTTAGTCGCGAATGGTAAATTTCAAACTGGACCGACACAAACAGCTGATCGTCCACTCGAAAATTATTCCTCCGACAAGCTATGTGGTCTGAAAAAAAAAGTGATACAAGTTAATTAAATTCCCCTTTAGAAAGCTTCACTTGTAACGCGAATAAAGGAAAAGGATTTCGCACACTTGATTATGTCGTGTCTACTTTTTACGAGGACTCCAGATCGCGCAATGAAGCGCGCTCGTTAATTCGCGGAGAGGACCGGCGCGAGTTAAATACAATCCATTTGATCGAAATAGATAATGCCCGGCATAACGTGGCCCCGCAACGCTAATTATAGCACTCGGATTGCATCGTTTACGAGCCGTGGGATGTCCAGTTTATTGCGCGCGCGGCAATCATCGGTGAGCTTTATACCAGCGTCGCAGTAGTCGGGAATGCATCGGCGAAACGTGGACAATTATGGTTTCAAAGGTGACGGAAGATAATTCCCTACCCGCGGATTTCCCATAGCATTTACGAGGATTCGAATCGTAACATCGATCGGATTAATATCGCTTTCCCATCGCATTTTACCCCTTTCTCTCTCTCTTCCCGATTCGGGAATACGATACGGAGATAATCTCCTTTCATAATATAATCCGAAGAGGGAACGAAAACACGAGCGTGATTAAGGCATATACCTCCGAGAGATTCTCGCCGAGTTTTTCTTGTTTCCCTCTGATCTCGTGCGCGCGTGCGCAAGGATGATATGGGGAAAATCGCGATCAATTGGAGACGCAATTGTACGACGTATATAATAGCGCCACTCGATATTTAATATCGGCCAACGAGCATCCTGAGAAAGCTTTCGCGATATTCCGTTTCTCTTTTCATTTTTTTTTTTCACGCGACCACCTCTTGCTTAATCTCTCTCTCGCCCTCCCCCTCGTATTCTAACATCGCATTGATTTCGAATCAATCAATCTCGAACACACGATATAGACTCGTACATCTCGAATATCTCTCTCTCTCTATCCTTATCGGTAAATTTCTCCGTGTTTTTCCACCGACGCCAACGGGCAAAAGGTCGGAGTGTAATTCGCTGTGACTTGTTGTTCCAGGCGCTGGTGTCAAGATGGAGCACTTTCAGGCCACCCTGGACCCAAGGAAGCAGGAGTTATTGGAGGCCCGCTTTCTCGGAGCGAGGGTGAGCTGTCTATAGCGCGCACGCGTTCCTTCTCTCTTTTATTCTTTCATCCCTCGCACAAAAATATTTTTTTTCCCATCAACGTCGTCGTCGTCGTCGTCGTCGAATGCGAAAAAAATTGATATTACAAAGTAGCAATGTTCACGAGAGGTCGCGTAAGAGGGTCAAATGATTAAAAAGTTGTTCGTTTCATAAAAGTATATATTCACACATTGATAAATGATATTTCACACTAATGCGATACTTGGACAAAATTATTTGCAAAGGTCGGCTATTTACAGATAAAAGATGCTTGTGCCAAACAAGTTGTTTCAAATTGCAAACAACTTGAGAAAAACGCGATACAAAGTAAGCGCGAAAAAATTACAAGATGGATGTATGGCGACTATTTAAAACGGACCGCTTGACGCGCCTTTTATTCGATCAATCCGGATATTTAAAGAGCTCGCAAAAAAGTCGGTTAGTCTCTATAAATTCGGTGATACATCGGCGCGAAAAAGCTATTGTTCCGGGGCAAAACACTGATTATTCTTGTAACATATGTTTGATCGTTATCTTTATTACGGCTTTGTCCATTTTCTTCATAAACTTGGTCTCGAGTTTTCCTCAAAATTGTACCTTTTTTTAATGTTTTTTTTTTTTTTTTACGATGATTATTTACCGAATGCTCTATTTCGCGGAAATTCTGCCGCATGATTTTTTCATCGGTATTCTTCAATAAAAGCATTTTTTTTTAAACAAGCGATGACGTCCGCTGAGCGATATTCGTTTAGTAGATTATCACTCGTTCTATTGACACGTTATCGTCTTATCGACTTGGAACTCGGCTGAAACGAGTAATTAGCTGACGCACGTGATCGTGCAGTAGTTGGCGCACGTCGGTGCGCTTTAGATTTTGTCCGCAAATTTTCTACTTTATCGCTTTATCGCGGGGCCGGCAATGTATCGACTCTTATCTCGATGCTTACGATGGAAACGCGGCGTTTAAATTGTCACGCACGTTGCCGCAACGTGATTGCTCTTGTCTTTCTCGTTTTTTTATAGAGATGAGGAATACAATTAAAATCGAAAGATGTAAAGAAATTACGTGGCGAAAAAATATCCATCCGTACGAAATTAAGCCAATTGGTATCGTTGTATAACATGTGCGTAACATTTGATAACGATTAAAACTAACGCTTGTTGAACAAGGATAAACTCTTCAAAAAAAAAAAAGAAAAAAATATCGATATGATATAATAAATTTGCAACTCTCGTAGATTCGAAATGTAAATGTGGATTGATAACGTATGAATCGATACGAGTTAAAACATCGACGTTGATGTAAACAATTCTTTTATCCAAACAATTGAACTTTTGGAAACATTTCAATTATTCATTTTGATTATCATCAGCCGCGTCACGATTGCGCTTTTATATTTAATTATTTAATTACACAATTTTACAAAGTAATTATATACAATATTCAAAAACGAATGTGATTGAAACGTTTCAAAAGTCCAATTGTTTAAATAAAAAAAATTTTGCATCGATATCGATATTTTTGCTCGTATTGATTTTTCTTACACTAGTACGATACTTGTATTATTCTGTATATATGTTGACGTGAAATTTAAACATCTCCGGTTGAAGCGAATTTACAACAATATAATTTTTGCGCGCGAGGGATCGATCAAATCACACATTACGATTCTAGTTCTTTTCTCTCGGAGAGACGACTCATTTGTGTACACGTCGACTCTATTTTCGGCAAATTACGACATCACGATATACAGAGTGTCCCGAATGTAATATATCGCCAAAAAGAGGGGATTCGGGTCGTACAATAATCATAATCTCGCATCGATTTAACCCTTTCACTCCTGATTTTGTATTTTTGGAAATTTATATTTCTATGAGTTAGGTATTGAGAAAAAAGGTTCAACAAGACGAACAAAATTTATTTAATTATATCACCGGGACATATATGTCCCTACAGGAGGGGAAGAGGCAACACGGTAAAATTGAAAGGATCCTCTCGAAATCGTTTCGAACGTATCGAGATGTCGTTGAAAATTATTTCTCCTTCGAAACTGCTTGAAAAAAATATCCTGCAGAGAGAGAGAGAGAGAGAGAGAGAGAAAGAGAGAGGGGATATATTACGTGCTCGGTGTAGAAACTTGCTCCGCGAATAATGTAATATTTACAACGATCCGCCTATATCGATCGAGCTTGCATTTATTCAGACGTTAAGTATTCGTGTCTCATGATGACGTAACGTCGACAAAGAGTATTGACGAGCGAATATCATTATCTGTGTACGCTCTAGCGGTATTATTAAATACGCGGTAGTAACATCCGTTTCATCCCGTGCATCTCCATATTTGGAATGTCGGCCCCACACACACACACACATCGTGATTGGCTCTTATTTCGGATTTCTAAATCAGGGATACATCGCCAGGAACGGATTTCCATAATATTCTAGTAGACCCCAAAAATGGAATCGTGCGGAATCGATGAGTTAAATGCGCGTACAGCTTTAGCGCGGAATAATACATAACGCAGTCGCGGGGCATTCGCGCGTTGGACGCGTCGCGTCCACGCACCTGGGGGTCTCTGGACGCGCGAAAAGTAGAGGAGGAATCTCGGGGACTCGGTCGAGGGAGGGAGGGGAAGCGAGAGGTAAAAGCGAACAGGTCCGTCGCGCGCGTGACACCCCGTATACGTCCGATCCGGCGACGTTGCCGGGTCACTCGCACCTAAGATCCGCGCGCCCGGCGGCGGATAAAACGCGTGCATCCGTCACTGCCGCGTCGTCGTGTCATCCGTTCCGGCTCGTCCTCCGAACCGCCGCTCGTCGTTATTATCGTTACATCGCGTCCGAAGCGGCGCGGCCGACACGAAAAGGTGTGGCCAATCGCGGCGCACCGTGCAATCGGCCCGCGTGCTATCGGAAGCACAGCGGCTGGGGTCGAGCGTGATGACGACGTCACGTGGCGCTCTCACTTTGAGCACGGCAGTCAAGTGCGCGAGTCCGACGCGCTCTCGCGCGTCGGGAAAAGGGGGCGGGGGGAGGGGGAGGGCGCGCTTAAGGGTGCTCTCACATGGTTGACGACGTCACGGCCGATATTCTCGCTCTTTCTCTTTGTCGTCGTATTACCGACCGTATTTACAGCGTTGCTCTTATCGCGTTCGTTCCTCTTTCGGCGGCGCTTTATGTTCGACAGTCCCTCGAGATTGATTTTTCCTTTTCTCCTATCCCGATTTTACTCGCGCGAACCATAAAAATTTCGATTGGTAAAGTCTAAATCAACGACGTGATTTTTCGGCCGCGACTCTTGTCCTTCCTTGCATCCTTGAGACGCGCGTTGTTTCGGCGATAACGCCAACGTAACGAGGTAGATTTATAAGATGCAACTGCAGTCTCGTTTTCTCGTTACCTTCCGTTTCGCGTGGTCGTATTGTTGAAACGGCGGCGAATCCGCTTCGTTCCCGTGTCTCTTTGTTCACGGCCGGTTGTCCTTTTTCGTTCTCTCGCCGAAGGACATGAAATGTGCGTGCGCGCATAAACGCAGTTTCATCTACCTACACCCACGCGACTGCGCGATGATGCAGCATGCACCGGCGTGCGACCGAAACTCGGTGGAGCTTCTTGCATCGCGGTTGGAATGTCACGGTTTCTTGCGTCGTGAAAAATCGGGACCCGTTCTCTCAACGGGAATACGCGATTTCCCGAGAGTAACTCAAAGTATTCATTTGTATTCAAAGTATTCATTTCGCCGAGATTTCATTCCCCCGGTTAATTCGTAGAGAGAAAATGGAAATTAATCGAAACGACCGCGTCCCCTTTTATCGACGGGACTTTCGGCCGAAATGTATCAATCGAAAGTTTAATTTTATCTTTGTATATCGACCGTAACGGTCTCCTATCCGCGGAAAGGGGGAAAGAAATCACGCATCGGCCGCTCGGCCGTCGTCCAACGGCAAAGATTTATACCTGTCCTGCCCGTTCAAAGTGAGAGACCCAAGTCGTTGTCCCTCCTCTAGTACTGCTTGTCTACTAACCGTTTATACAACGCAGTCTCCCCTATTTGTAGAGACCCTAGAGGCCGCAAAGGTTTGTGGCTATTTATATAATGTCGAATCGAGCCTTCGTAGCATCTTCGTTATACGATTGTCTCATCGCGAGATTCTTAATCGCGGTCGCGACTCTTTGCGAGTTGAATGCGAGTCGAGAATGGCCGATTCTTTAAGCGTTTGACCGGTCCTAGTCTTGAAACGCGAACGTTTGTTCCAATTTGTCCATCGTTTCAAAAAAGGTTTGCATTTCGCAACATTATATAATATATCGCAATATTATATAATAATATTCGATAAACGAGTCGGATTTGCTCCAATTATTCCGTCGGATTATTTTTAATATCGAGTCGACGAGTATCCGTCCATCTATCCGTCGAACCATGGTATCGAATCTCGGTTCGCGCGTCGCGTCTCTTTCCGGGACACCCGATGTATAGGTGCGAGCGCGGAAGGAATCCGTAGGTACCCGACATTTTGCAGTACTGTTCGTACCGGCGTGACGACGGCATAGGTAGTTTCCAAGCGCGAGCATCATCCCTTCGTTTCCCTTCCACTTGGCCCAATATTCTCATCCTTATCTAACTCATCCCTCCCGTTCCCCTTCCCTTCCCTTCCCTTCCGTTGCCCCTCTGCCTTCCTCGCCACATCCGCACACATCCGCAGCGTCTCTCGCAACCCCACCCCTATTAGTTATTTTCTCGACGAGTCTCTCGCTCTCCTCTCTTCTATTCCTCCCCCTCCTCCCCGCGTACTCTCTCATTCTTCTCCCCCTCCCCCTCCCCCCGTCCGCGCGCGCTCTCTCTCTCTCTCTCGCTCTCGCTCTCTCGCTTTCGGAGTCACCTCTGTTGGTCTCTCCACATCCTTCGAGGATCGATCGAGAGGAGCCCGGCACTCTGTATATATGTATATATATCCATTTCCGACCCCTTTCCCCTCCC